ATTAGCGGAATTTAAAATTAACTATTTATTTTTTTAATGAGTATACATGAACATCAAAGAGATAAATGTTAATTAAAATTTTTCAAAAGTATAAAACTTAGGCATGTTTTACTGGTTAATTTAATGATTTTTTTATTTTATTTTTTAAAACATGAATAATGTTATAGAGGATAAAAAATTACATATTATAATTTTTAAAATATAAAAATTGATATAATTTAATACATTGATATCATTAAATTCTATAGTTTTTAATAAAATTTTACTATATATAATTTTTTACTTGTATAATATTGCACAAGTTTAAAAACTATTTATATTTTAAAATTTTTATTAAATTTTAATTGATAAATAAAAATATATTTTTAATACTCTTCCATAATAATAACTAATTTTATTAAAAAATTATCCAACATTATAAGATTCAATCAAAGATAACATTAAATGTTATAATTTCTTTATATAAATTTATTACGTTTAAATAATATTTTGATTTCTATACTTGATTCAGATTTGTAAACTAGTCTTTATATGTAAAAAATTTGTAAATTAGTTCTTAAACGTATATTTATTCTTAATTTAGTCTTTATAGTTTAGAAATGAAAATAAGATAAGTTAGATTAGGTTTTGCATAAAAAAGCTTAGCTTATTTAGTGATTTTGAAGTTTGAGTCTGACTTATTATTTGTTATAGACTTTTTATTAAGCTTAGCCTAACCTTTTTAAGAAACTGATTTGGCCTATTAGCTTTTTTAATGGCCTACTTCGTATTAAAACATTCAATGGGTCATCAAATATTTTTGTAAATAGATTATTAAACCATCTAAATATGTATATCTTTTTAAAAGTCATAAGACTTATATATAAATAAATTATTAAAAAAATTATTCAACATCTTGAATATGTATAATAAAATTACACATTCCTATTTATTACTTTCAAACTACATAGACATATTTGAAATAATGCGTATAAGATATGTAAAAGACTCCACTAAAACTCTCCCTCTCTTAGAAGGTATTAGTAGAAACTTTCTTCAACTCTAAAGAAAAGGATTAAAGTTTTTAATTTAAGATTTTATTATTTTAAAATTTAATTAATTTAATATATTATTATATTATAATTTTTATATAAAATTATTTAATATATTAGTATAAATTTTAAACAAACTATTCTAATAGGTCTAGACTTTAAAAAAGTTAGGTCGTAGACTCCCGTTGATCAGTTTGGCTTATTTTTATTCCTATTATTGTTAAGTTTAAAGTAAATGATATTAAATAAGCAAAAGATCAAATTAAAATAAATATACATATAAAGATTGATTTATAATTTTTCTATAAACAGGGACTAATTTTATAAAAAAAATATATATACAAAAATTGACTTAAAATTTATTTATATTTTAAATTTTTTTACCAAATTTAACTAATAAATAACAATATATTTTTAGTACTCTTCTATAATAATAACTAATTTTATTAAAAAATTATCCAACATTATAAGATTCAATCAAATATAACGTTAAATGTCACAATTTTTTATATAAATTTATTATTTATTAGTACATATATCTTTTAACATCTATTAATTTTTTAATATTATTATTTAAAATTGAATTTAAAAATTTAATATTAATAAATTTTGATTGAATAAAACATATTTATTATATTAAAATTATAAAATTATATTTAGTATTTTTTAAATTAATAATTATTTAAACTCTGTTAAAGAGTTCGCTTCTTTCCAAACCGTCTTCATCATGGATGGTACTTGGATTCTGTTTCACTTACTTATCATAAATGGATATTTTATACATCATATTTTCTGAAGTTACTATTATTTATACTAATTTTGGTTCTCTTGATTTGTCCATATCTCTTATATAATGTTATTTTTATTTGCAAAATAAAAAATGTGCAGTATTATAGGAGCAATTATAATTGGAATGGAGTATTATACAGTATTGTATGGACAAATCAAATGAAAAGGATTCCCTCAAGTAACATGATTCTCATGTTTAGCCACTTTTCTTTCTGCTGCTCCAAATTTAACTCTCAACTTATAAACATTTCATGAATTATATTACGTATAAAAAGAAGATTAAAATTTATAATTATGTTTATACAGTATTATTATTAGTTTTTTAAACATTTAACACAGTTGTATTAAATGAAATTTAAATTTAAAACTATTGATATTTACTTAAAATCATAGTTTAAGTTAAAACAACTACTTGATAATTAATTTACGTATTTAATAGTGTATAGTATTATTAATAATTAAAAATATATAAAATCAAGATGTTTGAAAATTTTAATTTTAAAAAACTAAAATTAGTTTAATTAATAAAGTATTGTTTAAACAATAATTTATAAATATCTCATTATATTTAATATTAATTGAATAAAATTTGATTATTTATTAAAATAATTGAGAAAATTAAAGAATACTTTAATTGATAACTGTTAAACGGGATATTAATTTTAATTTGATTTAACATAAATCCATGTATTGTTACAAACTGAAATAGATATCTCATTGTATTTTTAATAGAAAAAAGATTGTTAACTAGTACCAATTTTAAGAAATTGAAAGTATAATTTTTAATAAAAAAATACAAAAATAATTATTTTCATAATTTTAAATATAATTTGATGTAAGATTTATAATATAAAAGTAAATTTTCAAATTACTTAACTTTTAAATTTACATTGTTGCAAAAATTATACCTATCTTCTTCTTTTTTTCACTTTTTAATTCCACATATATTAAAGGATGTTAGTATTGTTCATATATTTTTTTTCATGTTTTTTTTGTTATATTACTATTAATTTATTTTTCCCTTACAGTCATCTTTTTTTTCCTTCTCCTTTTCTTTTTCTCTCCCTTCCTCTTATCTAAGGTTAAGTATGTAAGGATGCTTTAAGTTTTGAATGGTGTATCAATGATTCCACCAAAGACAAAATTCAATGGTGCACTAGGGTGAGAGAGGAGGAAGTGAGTTGATATCTCAATTGTGTGGCCACATTTGTTATTTAGGTTTGCTTTCAATACTAACATTTTATTAAGTGGCAAAGGAAGAAAAAGAAGAAGAGAAAATAGAAGAAAAAAAGAAACAATTAAGAAAAATCTCAAAGAGGGAGAAATTGCATAGAAGAAGAGATGAAACGATTTCAAATAAAGTTAATGTCGTTCAACAAAAAAAAAAACCTATAAAATTTATTAAATTAAACTAACACTTTTAAAAGTTAAGAAAAATAACAGAACTAAAAGTAAAATTTTATCATAAATCTAAAAATATATCTTTGCCAACTAAATTAACATCTTATAAGAATTTGTTTGTAATAATAACTTTTTAAAATGACAGTTTTTATTCTACTAAAAGATTTCCTTATGTATACTGCAATGAACATTTATTTTGTATACTTTAGGAAAATTTTCCATCTGTAGTCATAATCATAAATAAACTAAACCCATCTGAAATATATAATTTAAGAATAATAATTAACACAAATTCAATGCCCTATATAATTATATTAAATTTCAAATTAAAAATTAATATTACATTTATATTTTTATAATTTTGTAGTCACAATGCAAATCCTATTATAACTTCATCTTCACTTTATAAAATTTTAAATCCTAACTTGCTACAATTATTTAACATTGTCTTTATAGTTACGAAATGTTATCCTTCTGAGATTGTTCTTTAAGTTTGTTAGTCAAAGAACATCACTGGTTACTCGTTTATCTTCATTTTTATAATTTATATCAAATAATATTTTTGTTTAAAGTTCAGGTAGTAGAAAAACAGGTACTAAACTTATTATCTGTGTAAATATGTTTAATTTTTAAAAGTAATTATGAATATATATAGATACTATAGTATTTTATTTAAATTTACACAAATGTCGTAAAATATATTGATGTGAATTTTTTCTACATTAATAAATTTCTTAATCAATGAAATTTAAAGAATATTTTTTTATGTAACACATTAATAAACTTTTAATAAATAACAGATCTTTTCGTTAAATTTAAAAATCTAAATTACATTATCCTTAAGACTTTGTTTAAGAGTTTGAAGGGAAGAAAAAGAAGAATCTAAAGAATAAAAGAGATTAAATTTTTTAATAAAGGGTTTAAGTATATAAATGATATTATATTTTATATTTTTTATTAATACTTTTACAAAATAAAAAAATATTTTTTTCTAAAAATTAATATTTTAAAAAAATTATCAATTGAAAAATTAATATTTTTTTAAAAATTAAAATCCTATTTATGAAATAGTAGAGAATAAAAAAGAGAAAAGACCCAAAATAGGAAAACTCAAGAAACAATAGTTAAAAGAATTTTGAAGAATTTGGAAACATTTAGAGTTTAAAGTTTACTCTTAATTTTTTTCCTTTTTCTCTTCTTCCCTCTTAAACACAACTTTCAAAGATAGCCTTAACAAAAATCAAATATAGACACAACACAGACTCTCCCAAGACTCTTATAATTTGCTGCTAAAAAAAGAGTTATCCTCATAAATGAGTAAATTTATTTTATCGTTTTACATACTTTTTCCATTCACGCCAAATATTGAATTTGTAATTTCATTAAAAAAAACGTTTTAATTAAACTTGTAAGTATCAGATCTATTGTAAAATATTTTAAATTTAAATAAAATTAATAAATAAATACAAGAATATAAGCAGCTTATATTTAAGACTAAAAGAAATTTAAAAACCTAAGAATCATTAATAAGAGTAACTAAAATTTGGAAAAAATACCTAAAAACTAAAAAGTAATTAATACTTTCAAATTTCTAAACAAGAATGAAACAACATATCACCAAAAAAGAGTATAATTAAAAACACATCCACACTCAAATGAAAACTTAGATTCATAATATATTAACTATTTTATTTTCAGACTATTGCACATTCAACAACATAGCATTGCTACGGTAATAATTAGTTCAGATAATATACATATCTATTAAGCCAGTTATACCAAAATGTGGATCTTTTATGCACTCAAAATTGCCTCTTGTAGGCTGAAAATGTGGCTTTTTTTCAATCCATTACTACAGGTTTTTGGCCATGAATTTGCAACAAACATTAGACGAAATCCGTCAGTCTCACCCTTGATATAACCGTGGGAATTGATGTCAGCCATCTACCGGCGAGTGCCTCTTTCATTAGCTGATGGAGGAACATAATTTATACAATTTTTTATAACGCTCACCAAACAATGTCCAATTGGATTACAATTTCACGTCACAATCTACTGGTATTTTTCTAACTCGTATGTGCAACACTAAAGGTTGTTAAATTTTTAAAATGCTATCTTCTCATCCTGGATGTTGACGCTTTGGATTGGCTCTTTCCGCTGGGCAAATCCCCATCACTTGCACTTCCTTCCACAAGACTATCATGAACATCAGAAAATTCCGTGTTCCATGAACGCAGGGGAACAAGGTAACTATCATCCTTGACCTTGGTGTTTCTCCTCCGCTCCTCATCATGACGTTTCACATTTTCTGATATCTGGTGGAAGGTTTTGTTTATCTTTGCAATACCCCTTTCAACAGGTTCTACCACATGTGAAACTGTAAATTTCATGTCATCAACAATCTGAAATAAGACAGCAGAAACAGCACAGATGAGTATGACAGAGAGATATAACTAAAAATTTAAAGGTTTAATATATTCAAGTGTTTCATATCTTACGATTTCACCACTTCCTAAGACTACATCACGAACATTATGGGTAAATTTCATACGCCTCTCTCTCTCTTGTCGACCCAACCGCATTCTAGTAGTGCATTCAGAGTCTCGAACCTCAGCAGGATCAGGGGGTGTCCCTAGTGAGGCATAGTCTGCCATCACTGCTACATTACGGACACACCTCTCTCCTCTTTTGTAAGGTACTGCAGGAAAGACATAAAGGTGCACAACAGCAGCAACGCCCATCTGTTAACAGATTTCAAAATGGGTAATCATATACAAAATGCCAACCGAGAACTTCAAATATGTTTCTGATCCCACAAAATATACCACATTTTGATCTCTCTAATTTCTTTTTGTTCTAGTTCTTACATTTTTTTTTTAAATTATTGGTTTTGGTCTTTTTCACTAATGTGACTTCACAAAAAATCAACACATGAATAAAAATTAACACACGACATCATCTAAGTTAGCCACATTAGTGACTAGGGACCAAAACTAATAATTTTAAAAAATATAAGGACAAAAGCAAAAATAATAATTTTATAGAGACCAAAATTAAAATATAATGTATTTTAAGGGACTAGAAACATATAATCATTGGTCTTTCCAAAAGGCTCTAAATAAAAAGACTAGAACCAAATATTTAATGAAAAGGTCGCAGAATGATCAATTCATACTACTGAATTCCCATTGGAGCAAGTCTTCATCTATGCATGTACCTCTCCGGACCCCACAATAGAGGGAGCCTTGGCACTAGACCATTAAATGTGCATTAGTGCAGGAATGCTTACGGAACAGAAGAACTAATTTGATTACTTAATCTTACATGGTTAAGAGGCGATTGATATCATGCTTTTGGCTTACAAAAAGCACACAAATAAATAACATATAGTAATCACTAATCATATTTGTTAGTTTATATGCTTTCATATATGATACAGATATGAAATAATCCACCTGATATGTCCTGAACGGCTTAAAATGACCCCCAATCTCACAAGTCTTTGTGACAAGCTGCTGTCACATTTAGGTTTTCATGCAAAGATCATAGATGACAATAGAAGTTTAAACTTGTTCGTGAAGAATATTCATATGCCAATGATTGCATATAGTAGTAGTTCCTAAAATTGAGATGATTTAATAATGCAATATAAAAAAAGACAACCAAACTTTAAAAAATGCATGAATAGCATACCTCTATACAGATGATATAGTCTTGTATGCGTGTTTTCAGCTCTTGAGCCAATGACCCTTTAAATGCTCCCATGGAAAAAAGAAATGCAACAGCCACACCTTGCCACCATGTCAGGAAGATTATTGACTTAAAAGTTAGAAATTTTGCCAATGGTTTGATTGGCTCCAATTTATCTTTAGTGACAGAATAGAACTGGACAAGACAATACAGGGCCCATGTCTGACTAAAATTGAGAATGCATGCCAAGTATGGATACCTGCAAACACATGGGGGAATCAGGCTTCACCAAGGGTCATAAAAATGTTCCATTCCCTAAAAGAAAAAATAGAAAATAGAAAAGCAGAAATAATAATCAACATACATCTTTTCAATTGGTATTCTACTTCTAATTAAACAAGAAATTTATCTACAATCAAGAATTATCTTGATAGTTGAGAATTGAGATTATATATTTATGAATTATTCTATGCATCATACACAAGCAAATCTCAGATCTAAGGCACAAGCCAATGTAATCTTACCCATATTTCCATTCAAACTTCCCCTCTCCATAAACCCCAAAAGACTGGAGGATCATTGCCAGCAATGCACAGATCATTTTCAGTATCATCTGGAATGTAGGTTTTAGTCAACAAGAAGAAAGGCATGAATTCTTCTTTCCCATAAAAGAAAGAAAATGGGTAGGAAAAAAGGCACAATTTACCAAAGTAAACATACATATTGTACAATGCCAATTTTCACAGATTGATAGAAGTCAGGGCCAAGATACCAATCTCTTAACAAGCAATTTAAGGGGAATGGATGTTCCACAACTCCATATGCATATGATTCTTTCAGAAGCGGAGTACTGGACTCTGTCAGGCTCATACTTTCCATAAATTGAATTGTTTTTTCCTCACCACCTACAAGCAACCAAAAATAATTTTGTATTAAAGAGCATGACAAATTCAAAATAATTTGGAAGTTGAGAAGATGTATGACATCTTTTAATCATGAGTTATAACATTCAAGCCTCACAAAGATTAATAGATTTTGAATTAAATTTGGGATTGTAGAAGAAGGAAAGGGAGGAAAATCTCTTGATCCTTACACTTTTGTATTTCTGGAAAATATAATTTCATGAATAATAGCTACAACCAATGAAGATCATACAGGCACACAATCCGTTTGACATACCTAAGCAAGCTATCAAGTATCTTTCAAAGCAATATAATGCAAAAGCCTCATAGCAGTCCCGCATAGCTTCACAGTTAAAAGCTGCACTGGAATCCAATAGTGACAAAAACTGCATCAAGAAAACATCAAAACTTACCAATTTACTACTAAGATTATGTTAAAAAGAAAGCAATAAACAAACTTCCATGGCTGGATTATATACACAAAGCAGACACATTAATACTAGTACAGATGGTCCTTCCAGAGAAATAAAACCCAACCTTTTCTAAAATTCTATAATCAGTTAAACACGAACATACCCTTTTGAGTATGACATAAACAAAAAGGAGACACTTTTCAGTATTAAAGATATCAGAACGATCACTATTAAATAATGGAGCATTCTAAAAAACAAAACAACAGAAAGATGCATATGGAGTGAAAAAAAGCAGCATTTTAGTTTGACTGTTGGAGACATTGCAGCATATATTTTATGATAAAAAGCTTGTTACTACTTTTAGTAAGCACTAGGGAAGCTGAAAACCTATCCTACATGAAATAATAGGAAAGTTCCAATATATCCCACGACATAGTGACAAAAGTTTAGCCAAAATTAAAAGACTTCCAGGTTCAAAAATTATTTAGATTCCACACACAAAATAAGAAACTAACTCTAGTCTTTATTAGGATGAGCTAATGTACCCATGTAAAAGATGCTATATACAGAACAGGTAGTATTTGTCCATTTACTTAGCATCTCTTACCGATTCCAAGGCATAAACAGGCACCATTAAAATGAGACCAATCAAAAACTTCTGCTCCTGAATTAAAGGAATAAAAAAAAGAAATTAGAAACATTTTGAAATAAAACGAAAGAAAGTAATACAGGGGAGAAATAGCAAAGTCAGTTGAAATTGAAAATGCAGCTATAAGAAGTGCTACAAAAAGGGGAGCTAGTCATTACATAAATGGTAAATCACTAAATCTATTGTGGTGCAGGAGAAAAAGATGAGTGTGACCCAAAAGTAAAGGAAAAAAGGAAAAACCTCAGGCTGATTATAAGCAGCTAAATGCTCGAATATTAGATACATGGAGAGAATAAGAGCTACAAGCACAAATATACTTGAACTGAAGACTGTCCAGCTCATAGTTCCTGTAGACTCCACACCTACGTTTAGAGGCCATAAAGTCCCTAATCTGCTAGTGGACTCAACAACTGGGAAGAGAAGTATGAAAGAACATAGAATATCCATCAATCCCATACACCAGAGCATTAGAATTTGTTGTAACAAATGGTCTTCCTTGATTTGATCAATTCTAAATTTCCTATATTCCAGACAATATGAAGTGTTTCCACTCCCACAAAACCTTTTATTTTCTATAATTTTCTCTCCTTCTGTCTTTTTGGTAAGAAAACCAATATCCTGTAAGATATCGTATGTATAACAAGACAGCCACCCTTCTGGAACAAAGGCAAATCTTCAAAATTGACATGCGGCATGTAGAACTAACAAAGTCCACCGACAGCAGATAAGGATGTTTGCTTTTGATACATGTAGAAAATCCAAATTGAGATAGGACAGTTATCCTGCATCAAAAACCAGATTACTTAAGTGTGTTTACACATCAATAACTGCATTTACAGTAGAAAAACCAAAATTGGAAGCATCATTCCACCTCTACACATCAAGATATAAATAAATCACAAACTCTAATTAAGTGAATAACTATATACAGAGTGACATAGTTTGACAGGGAGAAGGGGAATAGACAAAGACAACCACCAGAGAACGCAGCTGGTGTGCCATATATTATATAGAAATAGTTATCACAAAATAGCTGAAAAATTTTAAAACGTTGAACTATTTACTAACTAAAGTGCAGTGCAATCCATTACTGTTAGCTGGCCACCATCATATTCATATCAATTGCCTTCAGCTAGATACATTATCAAAGAGCACAAGCAGGTCCACCAAGAGTGGACAATAGCAACAATCTTATACTTTACATTGAGAGAAGGGAATATAAATAACAGCTTGCAGTCAGTGGACACATAATCATCAAGTAACTTTTGTTCAATCTGATCATAGAGAAAGGAAGGTTAGACAAAATTGCAAATTATTTCCATTAGAAAATTTTTAGTAAAACGATTTAGTCATAATATTTTTTAATTATCTCCGAATCAAAGATGGTTACATCAATTATCTTAATACATCATTGCAATATTGCTGCTACACTATGAAGCAAAGATACAAGATCACAGCAAAATTAGAAGCAGAAGAGGTGCAGAGAGATTTTGAGTAGGATGACACAGAATGCCAATGTCCAGCAGAAAGGTCAAATAACATGTGCACTCGTTTCTCGAAAGTGTTAGTAACATAGTATACGCAGCAGCTAACAGTACTAGAAGACAAATCAAAGAACAAAGTGTTTCTAAACAATAATTCTACTTCTCACTAACAAAAAGGTTGAGAATACTTCTCTAAAACCACGGCCATATTTTAATCCATTTCCACTCCCCATTCTAAGTTTCATCGCACATAATTGCAAAAACGAGCAATGAAGCGGTAATCAAGTACATACTTGAGCCAAGATAGGTTAACGAATTCGAAGATTAACACGTAAAACACATTCAATAACCAACCCCTTTTTTCACATTTCATAGACAAAATGCTCTTAACCGAGGCAAGACAACCATCGATTTTCAATAAATAAATAAAAACTCTATGTCCATATGAAAATCGCAAAGGTGAAATTCAGCCATGATTTTCAATGAAACACTACATTTTCCTTTTTGTCGTGGAATGTACAATAGGATAAAAGGAAAAGGTCAAAACCCTAGACCTCGAGTGTATGCAGAGGGACAAAAGAAATACGCCATGTGCCGAAACGAAAAGCAATAGGAACAAAAGAACGATGGCAATGACTGGCAGAATCATGGAAGAAAAATTTAGGAGAGAGTTTAAACCTGCGCTCAACAATATGTGCATTTTCCAGGAAAATCGAGATGGATATTTTCCGGGGAAATAGAACGGAAAAGGAGGAGTTATCGGAAATAGCATATGAGAAGAAAAAAATAAAACAACGGAATTTTGCTTCGGCCGTTTGGAAAACATGAATTACGATACGAAATTAATATTTTTGGAATTCGTGAAAAAATGAGAAGCGAGGAATACTACACCTTGACAGGGGGAGGCAGATCTTGTGGTCACAGCTGCAATCTGAGTCGTCGATTGGAATGATCTTTTCTTATTTGGCGTTTTATGTGAGGGCTGTGACGGCGAGTATATGGCTGGTTGGAGATGTGAGAAAGTTTGTTTCTCCCACGTCAGCGTGTGTACGTGGCAAACGAAGAAGAGGGTGAAATTTTAACGTTATGTTGGGCTGTCAAATTGTGGATACGGTGGAACAGAAGAGAAGAGGCGCTGCTTCTGCCAAACAGTCTCAGTTAGAGCAGACTGTTTGGTAGCGGTTGCTGTCGTTAATAACTCATTTTTGTTAGGATGCCAAAATAATAAGGTGCTTGTTAAACTTGAGAGCATTATATATATTTTTAAATTGATTATTGTAATTTTTTATTATATTAAAGATTAAAAAGTATTTAAATTATTGATTTAATTATTTATTAATATAAACTTAATAATAATTATTAAATTAATTTTTAGTCTTATATTTTTATAAATTTTTTCCAAACTTTTATATTTTGATATGTAATATTTTTAAATCATATATTTAAATTAATTTCCCAAATTCTTCTATTTTTAATATTAAAAAAAGATAAAAATCCATTGCTTTGAAAAATGAAAATGTTCGGATTATGATAAGTCGTGTGATGATGATAAATTTAGCAGTCAAAAGGAGTTGGTGGTATATATGGGGGTTATCTTCTTTGCTAAGGAGCCTAGTGGTTATTAAGTAGGTCGACTAGGAAAGAGGAAGATCTAATCTTCTAACTAATCGTTAATAAGTAAATTTTATTTGAGCTGACCCACTTTTTTTATAATTTAATATTATTCAAGATTGTTAAGATAAAATTTTAATTTCAATTAATGCCAATAACACTTAAGAAATTATATTTAAGTTTTATCTTTTCTTCATCTGATGATATAAGAAAAACTTCTATCGACTTATTTTTAGTTATTTAATTAAAAAGTATATATGATTTTTTTTGTTAGCTTTTACTTATTTCAATAAATTTTAAATTAAGAAAATTGAATGAGAAAAATTAAATTTTATGTTAAGAGTGATGGTTATGGATTGGTTTAACTGAGTCAACTGGAATATATTTATCAAAATATAGAATTTCCATTAGATTCATTGATCAAATAAGTTCAAGTTTTTTAGCCCAATATGATTAATTTCCCATAAAGAATAAACTCGTTATGCGTCCATCCGCGCGTGCACACACAAACGTGTGTGAATTGTGACTAAATATTCTTTAGTTATAATTACAGCTGCCAAATTTGGGTTATCTTGCCTGACTCAGCGTGGGTAATAAGTTTAAGTAGAACAACTTGTATAATTATAATTTATAATAAAACATCATTAATAATAACAAAAATAATAATGTTGTAAGTTAGATTTTCATTTAATAATTTTAATTAAAATATATTGGGTGTTAGGCTATCATAACTTTGGACAGTAGACTTACAATCTTTAGACTTCATAGAAATAGATGAAAATTTTCATAAACGAGAAGTGTGGAATTACTATAACTAAACTTTTTGTTCGGTTGAAATAAATCACAATTCATATACGACACAAGAAAGAGATTCGCACAAGATTACGAAGGTCTCAATCAATGATTGGCACAAGTTATTTTTTATTACACAAGCATACGACAGAGTGAAGTCTCACCAAACATTCGGTATTTACCAGAAAGATTGGCAATAGACTCATAGCACTTCACTATAAATCCACGGTAATGAAAATGAATTCAGCTGCGTAACAAGACGATAGCAGACGTACACTGATCTTTGCATGACATTCTCCACAGAGACAAAATGGCATCAACAAGTGGATTGTATAATAAAATGATATTAATCACAACTCGTCTCACAACCTGAACTTATTATGGAGCCATAAAAATCTACAAATGGAAGAGAGATGCTGGTATACAAAAGAATGGGACATCCATTACATGATTATACAAAACTGTTCCTTTCATCAGTAAGTGTCAATAAAATCATTAGAGTTCATCAGCGAAAATGATGATGAAAAAGTACACAAAAAGGTTTTTTCATTTTACCTATATGATCAGTGTCTACTTTTTCCCCTACGAACAAAAGAGAGGGGCTGGTGGTTTGTCTCTGAAGCTCTCATACTTTGATCTCAAATCGCATTCATGGGCAAGGAGCCAACTAGTACCAAACCTGTCAAATGGTTGATGATCGTCTTCTGAGACAACAATGGATTGAGTCTAATACGGCACATCAAGCTCCTTCTGCCACATTTTTTAATACATATACATGGGTTCAAAGCAGAAATCCCCAGCCTGAAGCTGTTAAAACTATATATAGCCCTCAAGATGCAAAATGTGTCAGGATGAACTTCAAACAACGGTGGTGCTAGAACGAGCTACCCTTTGGGCTTCTTCTAAGTCCCTTAAAAACCTGTAAATTCAAGTGTAAAAAACACCTCTGTTGCTAAGAAATCCAGAATGTTACCTAGTGCAGAGCAAGTTGAATATTTTTGCAGTAAGTAAAGTACCCTAGATCAATCAATGAACAACCGAATATAACAAAGCATCAATCTATACAAGTTGAAGACCATCCCAATAAATTTTATCACCTAAACCTAGGCCGACAACTCACTTCAAGCAACATTCAAAATAACTAATTAAGCCCAAACTATGATTGCAGTCAAAACAAGACAAAAGAAGAACTTTCTATTCAAAAATTAATATCATTGTTAGCATGCCAAATTGAAAGTGCAATCAGAATAAACAAAAATAAACATCTCCACTAAACATATCCAAACTATCTTTATGACTTAATCATACCTTTTAGAATTAAGAACAGAAGAGCCGCCGAGTATAAAACGAATGCCAGTATTGCTGGCATTTTGTAAAGCAACAGACCGTGACTCCTCATAAGTTGTCCCACCAACAATGAAGATGATCACTTCCTGTGGCCTGCTCAACAACACAACTCATATTATTGCCTAATTCTATGATAACGGTCATTAATAAAAATTTAAAACTTCTATTACACATGCACTACCAGTGTGCACTGATCAAAAAGCCCATTCCTAGATGACCTGCCAGGCCTCGAAATATTGCCTTCTTGTTGAACATATATTAAACAGAAAACTTTGCATTTAAAAATTTCCAAACTTCTAAATAATCATTTTTAAATCCAGCACATTAAATTACTCAAATAGATGTCAATTACATTATAAGATAACCAACTAAATTAACTCCAACAGTATAGTTTACTCTTGCAGCAGTTAGTAGAAGACAAGACATATAACAACAACAATCAAATCTTATCTCACTATGTAAAGTCGACTACATGAATCATACGACCTATTGAACTTGGTTAAGAAACAAATTTTCAAAACATATCAAAGATTTGACACGATTAAGGCCGTGTTTCCCCATTTTAACCTTGAGGACAAGGTTCCTCTCAATGGAGGGAGTATTGTTGGGTCTAAGCCATTTGCACCCCCATTCAAGACATATCAAAGAAAGAGGGTTAAAATGGAAAAGGGGAACCAGGAGGCGGTTATACTAAATTCTAACAAACTACCAAATCAGCATACGTGGCAAGGTGGATGAGGCAAGTATTCGGGGGGAGAAAGAGGCAATATAAGGGGAGGAGCAGAGGAGAGAGGCAGGAAATATCTGGAAGGTCATTAGGGATAGCTGAGGCTATAGGAGGATTGCTCTTGCTAATTACTAGCTCGTTAGATTGCTGTATTCTGTTCTATTATTCTGTTTTCTATCTTTACTGCTTGTAATCTCAGAGAATTTCCCTGTGTTGGTTTTGTTATTTCAATATAATCTCAGTTCCTATCAATCTCTCTCAATCATTTTTTACCAGATTAAAAATTATGCAATCTACTATTTTCATTGGTACCTCCAAAGGTCTTCTCTACATATAACCAAACTACCTTAAACAATTTTCAATCACATTTTTCACTATAAGTACTCCTCCAATATTTTAACGTATACTATCATTTTTTATCTTGTTCTTTCTCATACAACAACTGATTCACCTTAACATTCTCAATTTTGTCGCTCTTACTTTATTCTTATACTGTCTTTTTAAAGCTCAACATTCACTGTCATATAAGACAGCTAATTGTATTACAATACAATAAAATTTTTCTTTTAGCTTGATAGATAATTTATAGGTTACAAATAACTTATAATGTCTTTCTCTACTTTAACTACTCAGTTTATAATCTGAGTAACATCTTTATTAATCTCTCCAACATTCTATAGAATTGATCTTAAGTATCTAAACTTGAAAATTTGTATTATAATATCATCTCTAATTTTAATTTACAATTCATGATCTTTATCTTACTTTTTTGCTAAAACTTATGATTGCATATACTCTATCTTACTTTTATTCAAGTGAAAATCTTTAGATTCTGAAATTTCACTCTATAACTCAAGTTTAGCATTAACTTATTTTAAATTCTTAACCAACACTATGTCATCTACAAAAAACATGTATTTAGAGATAATTTTTTGTATGTCACTTATAAATACATATATAAAACTAGATTAAACAAGATAAGACAAGCAACAAATTGCATAATTTACAGGTTTGTAGGAGGTTATGAAAAGTATAGATATATAGTGTAGAGCATAAACCAAAGATGCAATGGACAAAATCATGTGATATCAATGTTATTGTATCACTGAAATTATATTTAGTAACGGTGCATATTAAGGTTGTAAAAACTTTGTATAGGCAGGCTGAATGGGATTATTTATTCGTTTTGCCTTGAGAGACCATAGCCACCAATCTATTATGAGGTTTTGTGCTCGATAAAATAAAAGCAGTATAATACAGAAAGAATTGCAGAATTCTGTATTGATCAAGTGTGTGAAGCCACCACAAAAACTCAAGTAATAATGTGTAGTCAAGACTCAAGATAGAGCACCTTAACTAATATGTCCCCAAAGTCAAGCCTGTCCGACCCCATTACAAGTTGAATTGCTAATATATCATATATGTGGGACCACATTGCATTCTAGATAATTGAAATAATATTCTACATCAATTTTATCAAGTAGTTAGTTAATTCTAAAAGCTAAATATTACATTATTTAGATCAGGAACAACATAGTGGCATTATCACCAGAAATTCATAAATAAGATACAATGAAGAGTTTATATTTAGCAGCACAAACCTTCCCTGTTGAAAGTGATTTCCAACAAATGGGTAGTCCACATCTCTCAACCGCCCTTTGACAATGCTTTCCATGACTTGGAACAGAAGTGGCTGGTGTTGGGTGTAAACATTCTCAACACCCTGCACCAAAACTCGGAAAACAAGATTGTTTTATAAGATTAAAGACTTACATCATTGAGGATATGGTATAATAATGACAATATTTCTATGCTGACCTTCAAACCACGAGCCATGTTACGGGCAATATTCATTAGATCTCGATTTCCAAAAAGATCACCAGTTCTCTTGTCAACACCTGCTTGCTTCAAAAGAAACTGGACAAGCTGTTGTGCCACAAAAAAGATATCAACATTGGTAACTTTCTCATTTAACTATATCAAAAACAGCACTAGAATCCATCTATATGCTGTTCTTAATTTGAATTTTAATCTAGTTGAATGTAAATTTATTTTCTACTGAGAATCCAAAGCCAGCAATATGACAAGACTACTGATAGATTCCAACATGTATATAGTAGGAGAAAGAAGACTAGTCAGGAAATAAAAGAGTAAATAACCAATTCTGTTAATAGTGGACAGCTGGCTCTTTTAGCAATATAAATAAGAGCACAAAGATAGTTAAGAGTCTATTTTTTCAGTTGGAATAGAATAGACTAGTCTGGAGAATGAGGTCTCTCAAATTACCTCATGTTATTGGAATCTTGTAACAATTCTTCCTATTCCTAATCTGTACTACATTGGTGTAGAATTGGGAATTAGGTTCAGCAATAAAGAAACATTCTTTCATATTCAGTTTAACATTTGGTTCTATCAACTGGTATCAAAGCACCGATCCTGGTGCTAAACGACGATCTTGGGGGAAATTGATGCATGGGAAGAACAAGAATGGAGGCAAGGGTTGAAGCCTTGGAGCGCACACTGCAAAACTGGAGTCGAGATCGTGATTTTCAAGAAAATGTCAAAGACAAAAGATTTCAGAAGTTGGAGCATATGATTTCAGATCTCACAAAAGTCATAGGGGAATTGTCGCGGAGGAATCAAGGTCATGGAAGAGATCGCAGCCAAGAAAGAGATCGCAGTCACGGAAGAGATCAAACAGCGGGAAATTCATATTTTGATTCAGAACAAGACCGACTGAGTCTGACAAAAAATATGCAATGGCGAAAACTCAAAATTCCCATTTTTACAAGTGATGAGGCATATGGGTGACGAATCATTTAGAGAGGTATTTTTGGTTGAGAGGAGTTCAAGAAGAAAGGATGCAAGCGGTTATGGTAGCAATGGAAGGAAACGCATTGAATTGGTTTCAATGGTGGGAATCTTGCAATCCCAATCCTACATGGGATTCATTCAAAACAGCGGTAGTAAGGCGATTTCAACCAACTATGATGAAGAACCCTTTCGAAATTTTGCTTGGGCTGAAACAAACAGATTCAGTGGAAGAGTTTGTCGAACAATTCGAGAAATATGCAGGTTTCTTAAAGGGAATTAATCAAGACTATTTGGTGGGAATTTTCTTGAACGGTCTTAAGGAGGAGATCAAAACACAGGTAAAATTGCACGAACCCACCAATTTGGCAGAACTAATGATGAAAGCCCAAATGGTGGAGGAAAAAAATCAGGTCACAATGAAAGTGGCAACACAACAAGGGACAAGACAGGTAATTCGTTCAGGTCATACACTGGGACACGAAGTTATACCAGAGAAACAAGGATGCAATCATCAAATTTCAGCAACAATAAAGGGAAGGGGGAAAGTTCTAACATGGCAAACAGCGTTGGTAGTAACAATCAAGGAGGGAACAAAAACAAAGGTGCAGCTTTTAAAAAATTGACAGATGAAGAAATGCAAGATAAGATTAAAAAGGGAATATGCTTTCAATGTGACGAAAAATTTGGCCAGAACCATGTATGCAAAAATAAACAATTACACATGTTGCTTATAGAGGAAGAGGAACAGGGGGGACAGAGACAGTGATAGGGGTGGAATGGGAAGAAGAGGAAGAAAAAGGGGCCTGAGAAAACACTGCAGATGTCTATGTTGACGATGGCTGGTTTGACGTCTAGAAATTCTTGGAAGTTATGGGGAAGGATAGACGAGGAGAAGGTGATAATCTTGATAGATTGTGGAGCTTCCCACAACTTCATATCCCCTGAGTTGATGGAAAAGATGCAATCTAGTCAAAGAAGAAACTCTTCCCTATATGGTGGAGGTAGGAGATGGACACAAGGTGAAATGTCAAGGGGTGTGTAAAGGGTTTATACTGGAGTTGCAAGGATTAAAAATTAATCAAGATTTCTTCTTGTTTGAGCTTGGGAGAGCAGACTTAGTTTTGGGGCTGGAATGGTTGGCTAGTCTAGGAGAAGTTAGAGCTGATTTTGGCAAGTTAACTCTACTATTGGGAAGGGACAGCAACAATGAATACTAGTAGGAGATCCAACCTTGTCCAGAACCAAAACCTCAATGAAGATGATGATGCAAGAATTGAAAGGAAGAGAAGAAGGGTATTTGGTGAAATTAGTAGAAACTAAACATTCAGAGGAAACAATGGCCATCCCTACATTCATTGAGGAAGTGTTGCAGCACTACAACGAGTTATTTCAGGATCCAGAGAGCTTACCTTCCAGTAGAAACCATGATCATGCTATATATTTGAAAGAAGAAGCATCTATACCGAATATAAGGACATACCGATACCCTCATTATCAGAAAAATGAGATAGAGAAGCTAGCGCAGGAGATGTTGAAGGCAGGGATTATAAGGCCTAGCATTAGCCCATATTCTAGTCCTATTATTCTGGTGAAAAAAAAAGATGGAGGGTGGAGATTTTGTGTAGATTATAGGGCTCTGAATAAAGTCACAGTCCCCAATAAATTTCCAATCCCTATTATAGAAGAATTATTAGATGAATTGGCAGGAACTACATTATTTTCTAAGCTAGACTTGAAACCTGGTTATCATCAGATTCTAATGAAAAAAGATGTGGAGAAGACTGTTTTTCAAACACATGAAGACCACTATAAATTCTTGGTGATGCCGTTTGATTTAACGAATGCATCATCCACTTTTGAAGCTCTCATGAATGAGGTACTTCAACCCTTCCATCAAAAGTATATAGTACGAGAAAGAAGACTAGTCAGGAAATAAAAGAGTAAATAACCAATTCTGTTAATAGTGGACAGCTGGCTCTTTTAGCAATATAAATAAGAGCACAAAGATAGTTAGGAGTTCATTTTTTTCAGTTGGAATAGAATAGACTGGTCTGGAGAGTGAGGTCTCTCGAATTACCTCATGTTATTGGAATCTTGTAACAATTCTTCCTATGACTAATCTGCATTACATTGGTGTAGAATTGGGAATTAGGTTCAGCAATAAAGAAACATTCTTTCATATTCAGTTTAACATTTGGTTCTATCAACTACACAACCCAAAATAATCTAATCATCCCTATTCAACTATCTGTTTAAAAGGTATAACATCTCTTAAGGATTAAGAACTGACATTCAGACATTCATGCATGAAAATAATGGATTTAAGATGAAAGCTGACAGTTTAAATTAGTTTACCCCAGGTTTGTACTTGGCAGATCTGGAAGCCAGTTTGTTGAAGAGCTGCATTAATTGAACTGGGCTATCTTTCTCATATCGTAAAGCATACAGCATGACCAAACGTAGTTGGTCCACATCTGATATGCTTTCATTGTTTAGTAGATTTGTCACTGCCTGCAGAAGAATACATTAGAGACGTAAGTAATCATCTAACAGGATCTTCTTTGACCTTCATTGTTTTAAAGTTGTTTTCAGTACACATAATAACAATTAACAAGGAAAAATACAATTAACTTTTATGTGAGTGTGTGTGTGGTAGGGGTAATAATAAGATTGCTTCATATACCATATACATATAATCTGTTATGTTAAACATGGATTTTTGGCCAAGCGAAACAAAAGATGAATATTATTCAGGGATTTTTTTTTTTGCTTATATTCAAATGGGAGTAAAGAAGTCCCACATTGAAAAAGAACAGACAAAGTGAGAAGAGAGTAAGGGGCCGCAATACTCATTTAATCCATGGAAACAGTAACTTCTACAGGAACCGATATGCATCAAGGCAGAGAGAGCAGAATAAATTACAAGGACAACATATTTTTTTGACAAATATCAGCACTGAAATGAAAAACCGTTAGGGTCTTTTTGACATATGAAATAGGAATCGTAATCACAATTACAATTCAAGAATTGAAATTGGTTTGAAATCATAATTCTTCTATTTGGGCTGTGCAAGGAATTAAAATGTATAATTATAATTGTAAATTGAACTCTAATCCATTTTGATACCACTAATTAGATATAGTCAATGGGTGGGATTATGTTGGATTTGAGTGGCAAATTTTGATCCACAAGTGATGGTGGCAGCAACAACAACAATTGTGGTGGTAGTGATAGTGGTGGTGGCGAAGGTTGTGGGAGTGGAAAAAACAAAGGAGAGCAGTTACGTAATGCAAAAGTGAGGGTAGGAATTGTAATTAAGAGGTAAAGGTTAAGAATTGAGGATGGTTAGTTTTAGTTGTATTATAAATTTTATTATTTAATGAAATTGAGTATTGGTATTGTGATTCCAATTCTAAATGATTTCCAACCATCATAATCAAAATTCCAAGATTTCAAATTCCGAAACCCCAATTTCATGCTCAATTTTGTGTGCTAAATGGACACTTAAAGATTAGCTTTCTATTTTCTTTGAACTGCCCAGAAAAATACTGGAACAAGTCCATGCGCAGAGCCCAAAAGAAACAAGTTACAATAAACATTGCACAATTTGAAAGGATTCTCCCATTTTTCAGTCTCCAAAGTGCTTTTTTTTTTTTTGTGGTGGGGAAGGGGGGCTCTAATTGATATAATTTGCCACTATGTCAGATATTATGCAGTAAGTAATAAACAAAGTCCCAGTGGCATTATCAAAGTTGATACTATTAACTAGAATTTTTCCTTATGTTACTTAATGGCCATCCAAGAACTTTTGAAATTTAAGCAAAAGCAAGCAACAATGTTTCAATAATTAAGACCATATAGCATATACCTCAAAAGCAGCCCCTTGCCCTCCATTGCAAGCCAATTCCTGTTCTGTTTGTGAAACTAACATAAGTTTTCGCTCTCCAACTATCTTGCTCATTTCAGTTACTAAAGTCACATGTTTTGTCACATTTCCATGCATTTTTCTGTACTCAGGGTAATTATCAACAAATTTGGCCATGTCCTCTGCCAAGAGTCAAATCATAAAAATAGTGAATTTTATACTATGCCACCATGTATAAATAATGTTTTACATTTGTAATTGTAACAGATGAAGAAATTTTATTACTTTGACATGTGAGCAAAGAAAAGTACAAACCAATTGTTTGGATGTTCTGGTTACTCTTTGCCACTTGCTGAAATTCATCAACCATCCGCTTGATATTCATACCTATATCTCCAAAATTCTCATACATGTTAGCTTTGAAAAAGGAATCTTGCTCAGATGACAACACAACCTCCTGTGACATGAAATAGCAAAAAAGTTGTTTTTTAATGAGCACAAAATCTATACTGCAATAAGCTGATGAATAATTACCCAGCATAAGAAATGTATTCAACCTCCTGATCCTTCGGAAATTTACCAATGGCTTTCAAGTCCACTTTGTTGTCTTGGATTCCTATCAATTCATGAACCATAGCCTATACCGTATAACACCACAAACAAGCGTTACTTATTTGAATATACAATTTATCTAATTATTCAACAACTGTAAGTTTGTCAGTAAGCCCTGGACTCCTGTGTTAATCTCACAGATACCTGATAGGTCCATTGGTTTAGCAATGGGGTTACAGGATCATCCCTCCTGTCAATCACCAACAACAATGGAGAAACTTCCATTCGCCTAAAATCAAAAAGACCACTTTCCTCTTGGTACATCAGTTTCTGTGTCAAGCCCAATAACATAAATTAGTTTTCACTATGGATGCCAGCACAATCATTAATGATAAATATCACATATTGTGATACACACTTTGGCAGCCAAAAGAACATATAAATTGACTATGTGTGTGTACAGAAGAATGCATGAGCTCAAAGAAAATCTCTATGTGATTCAGAATCATATAAATGATGAAGATATAAAAGCTTGAATTCATTGCAGAAACCAGTTAACCACTTGCTAAAATGCATATACAATTATTTCACATAAACAAAAAAATGCTGCAAGTTTGACAAGGTAACTTAAACTCACAGATGCTTCTTGTGCTATCCTTTTTGCAATATCAGATGTCCTTTGATATCTAATAACTGGTCTTCTTTTTAATGCCAAAAAAACAGCTGCAAGACCATCAACAACCCGGTCACAGAACCGCTGCAATGCTGAAGGATCTACCATAGCTGGGAGCATATATATATAACTTGTAGGCACATGCAAAGTGAAATGATAAGGATCAATTGCAACAAAATCTGCATAGAACTCCTGGATGATGAGGTTGACAACTGTGTCAGAATTAAACTTTGCAGCACAAAGCCCAGTATTTGAGATTGCAACACAATGAGTAAAGGGGGTTCAAGTCTTCATGCTCAACAATGTCATTTATTAGAAATAGAACTGGATAGTTAAACTTAAATAAAAACTTTGCAATTATAGGAGGAATAAGAAAGTGGATATCCTTCCACCCAGGACTTATTTCATGAGAACTTATGGTGTTCCTATGATACTATCAACTGACCTCTAATTTTCTTATCTATTTTAAATTGAGTTCTTAGAAAAGCATTTACCATCACAAAATTATTATGCAGTTCAAAAATCATAAAATGGTTATAGCAAAGTTCCCAATCCAAAATAAACAAAAAGGTATATAGTACAATGCACACAGAAGCAGTTACCTGAACTTGCTGGACAATTTCCTGTTCATCTGAATCAGCAAGTAAATGAATCTGAGTGTCCTTCAATATGTTGGAGAAAACTGTAATTTCAGAATGGATTCACAAAAGTGTTTTCAAATGAATGGGAGAAATTACTACTTGACTTGGGCAAATTACAAATTAAAGAAGGATTGCTCTATAGCGTAGCTAAGATTCAAGCAAAAATTTAGAGAACCTACATAAGTGATACTCTCCAAATCTGGGACTAGAAAGCTGGCGGCGCAAAAACTGGATATTCTCTGATGTAGGTCGAAGGAAGTAAATGGCCTTGAGATGCGACATTGATTCATTTGACTTGGAAATGGAATCTATCAACTCTACCAAAAACACTTCTTTCTGAAGAAGCTCTGACTGTGAATACACAACACTCACAATACTTACCTGCATTAATTTGAGAAAAAAGTGGACTCAGCATCAGAACATCATTTTCCTCCTAAACAAACACCAGCAAATGAATTCTAGGAATCAAGTACCTTTGGTAGGTTGATTTGTGGTTAAACAAAATAGTATAAGCCAAATCATAATTCTATAGTATTTTGGCAATAAAACTACGGGTAATGACTTCACAAGAACATATATCAACAATATAATTTATAAGCATAACTTCTAAAGAGGCCAATACCATAAAATCAATCAACTCATAATTGTAAAAGGTAGGGAGCCTCATACTTTTTCCATTGAAACAAAAATGAAAAATGTATATACATTCATATATTGAGGAGTCTCACAGTCACTGCACAGTGGTTTCAAACCTATAATACCTTGCAGTCCATGAAAAATTGCAAATAAGAAATTCGAACTACCACAAGAGACACTTAATTGTTCATAATTCGAGCAAAAAATAGAAAAAAAATTATATAAAGGAAGAAAAATCGACCCAACTGCGGGTAAGACAAGTAACTTCTTATTCAATATTGATGCTTAGCAACACATCAACAAAAGAACAATAACAATACATAAACTGATTTGTTGATATTTTGATCAGATTTCCCAACATTGTGGAAGATCGTTGAGTGAAAGTGCGGCGTACCGTTTGAGAATCAAGGATGAGAACCTTCATGCCAGAGATGTCCTGCAAGATGCGGTTGATGTAGTCACGCACCGAGGATGTGAGCATCATCTTGTGTGTGGAACTTGAATCACTCGATGAAGATGAATCGATGAGCCAGTTCAACACCGGTGGAAGCCAATCAACGAGCAGAGAAAGCACAGGGGTTCACACTTCACAATTCAGAATTCAGATCCACGACGAACGACGACGACGAGCACTTCGCTCTAACGCACCGTTTTAGGCGTTGTTTCTTTTCTTTATGCCAATTTTTCTTGCAATTCCTTTCCTTTGTTTGGTTACCTCTCATTTTTATTTTTCATATAAATGCATAAATTTGTGCCATTTACTAATTGATTATTTCAAGGTTTTCACTTAATAAAAATATTGGTTTTTTTTACTCTGACAGTAAATGTTGTCGATTAATTTTTTATAATAATAAAAAACCTTTGACATAATTGTAGAAATACTGACTAAAAAAAATTTTTTTTTTAGTGGTTTAGTTGATGACATCTGAAATACAATGAACTTTCAAAGAATCTACCTAAAAAAATGACTTTTCAAACTACTTTGTTGTTCGTTGCAAGCAATAAATAGACTCATCTAACATACACTAAAATAAATAAGTAAATAAAGCTAACCCTCTTACATTTAATATTAAAAAAAATAACCATCCAACTGAATTTTTTATTTTTTTTTAGTTCCATTGCAGCACAGGTAAAAATTTATAAACGCAATATATAAAACTCCAAGTTTCAAAACATTTTTACAATAATAAAACCCACTTGTTTTTGTTGACTCTCTAAAACTGTACAAACAACATGCTACCAAAAAAGAACTTTACAAACAACAAAAACTTCAAAAGGCTTACGTTGCAAAAATTCTTTACAGTAATTATACGTTGCTCCAAAATATGTTATCATTACAAGAATTATCGTAATAAACTGATGAATAATTGATACACCAATTAAAAATTAAAAAAAAAACGATAAATAAAAGATTAGAATGAAGTCCATTTTTTCACAGAAGTTCAAACTTTGCTTTTTATGAACACACCCAAATGGATCGTGGGCTTGGGGCCCGTTGCATTACCCAAAACAAAAAGGAAGGTGGATATGATTTTTATAACTGATTTCTAGTCTTGTACTGAGTTTTTGCTGGTTCGGCCTTGCGGAGCCAAATGGATTTGATTAGTGGTTGGGGGTTGAGGTTAAGCTCTGGTGTGATTCCCCCAGCACCGCTTAACATTACTCACACTAGCACTAGGACTAGCTTCTATATCCCTCTTCCCTCAACCAGAAAATTCGCTTTTCATTTTTGCACATCTCCGTATTACGCTGCTCCAACTAGAAAACCTCTAATCCCAATTCCACGTGGCAAACGGAGAAACTCTGATTCAGAGCCAGTTCTAGATCCCACCCTTGTCCAAGAAGTATCGTTCGATGATGAAGAAGAAGAAGATCTCATTGACGAATTTGAATTGGAATACGGTACAACTGCGCTCAATCTCTCAATTCTCGTTCTTTCTCTTTCTTTCTGGAACTCTCTGTTGTTGAGGTTCTCCATTACACAGAGGTGGATGATGATGAAGACGGTGTTGGTGGCGGTGACGAAACTTTCGACGAAGAGGAGGAATATGAAGACGAGGATGGTGTGCCCTATGTAAGTTATGTGGGAAGCATGGATTTATTTATGCGTGTGTTTTTTCTATAGAAATGGTGAATTTTGCTGAGGATGCTATGATGAAATGATTTTGCATGTAATGAAGGCAGGTGATGGCGGAGCAGGTGGTGGAATCTCCCTCGCCGGAACATGGTGGGATAAAAAAGCATTAGCCATTGCTAAAGAGGTTACTGTGTCTTTCGATGGTGACTTGCAAATTTATGCTTTTAAAACGTTGGTCAATTCCACCATTCAAGTGCGAATTGAGAAGCTTTCCAATAAGTAAGACATCATCTTGTTATTGGAATTGAGATTTCTTGTTCTTGTGGTGGAATGCATTGTTGTATTTTTACTGTAGATTCCGAAGATGAAAAAATGAGAGCGCTAGAGTTGAGATAGCCAATTTGAAGTTTATGCTGTTTTAATCAAATTTGACCTATTTAATCAGATTAAGCAACAGGGAAACAGGAGCTACTGCGCGTGTGGCTATGTTTATCAGTTTGTGAAATGTATAATGTCTTATCCAGATTGAGTTGAACTTCCTTAAAGAGACAGTTAGGTTTACTTTGATAAATTTTATTATTGAGTGATTATTATGAATAAATGCATATCTATTCTGAACAGTTTGTGATGGATCTCTTATTTTCATGTAATTGCATGATTGGGTATGCTATGCAGGGTACCATTTATTTCTTTTTAATAGCTTATGAGTTTTGGGTATGTCCAATTGTCTATGAAATAATGCATTTATAATATATCTAAATATCTAGGAGTAGGGACTTTTATTATTAGAAATAGCATATATGACTTGTGTGCTGAAACTTGTGAGCTATATAACAATGTTTCGTTCCTAAGAAGTAATGTTATATTGAGGTCTATTTTCTTTTTTTGGGTTATTTGTTTCTTCTGTTCATAATTATTCTGATGCTTATTTCCTTCGTTCATATCTAGTATACTGACATAGGGGGTTAGACCAAATTTCAGAATTTGGATCCAGTTGATCAGGACGTACGGTTAGCAATTTTATCAGTTAAAAAGGTCCAAAGAAAAAGGAAATCTTGAATTTGACTGCAACTTATTAGTATTCATTTGATATTCCTATCCCTTGAAGGAGAATGAAGTGGCTTTTACTTCTGTAGTTTAAGGAATGTAGAGCTTGTCAAAAGAAACATGCTAATGCCCTTGTGCATTTTCTCTACTGAAGAATTAAGGAAAGGTCTAAAGCTTTTACTAATTATACCATGTGTTTAAGTGCAATAGATTGGTGTGGCTGCCTGATTTATCAGTTTCCAAGTGCAAACGTTTTTTGTGACCCAAGGACTTTTCACCTTATAGTTATATAACAGCAAATGCTTGATGAATGGATTTCTGGCTTGTAACTACAGAGGCACTAAGTATTAATAATCTGCATCATTTTGTATTTCCCATAATGCCATTTGCGGCTTGAATTATTTCTTTGCATAAACTGCTGGTGAACTTGCTATTATAGTGGATGTACGCTTAATTGTGAGATTATGCCTTCCATGTGCAATAGGTCTGGTTCTCCCAGCATGGAAGATATTGAAGCCTTTTCTACAACCTATAGAGCAAAATTGGATGAAGCGGAAATTGCCAAATTTGTTCCTGACAACCTAAGTTTAGAGGTACTATTTCAGGTCTCCTATTGGTATTTTGTCTGTGTTGGAAACAGATATATACAAATCGAGATTATTACTACAATCAATATTTGAGAGTTCAAACTATTGAAGTACTCCTGTCCAATTAGTTTCATTTATGGCTCAATCAAATCCCCAGGAAGCTATGGAAGTATGGATAGCGTTTCTAAATTTTAGATGAAATGAACAATATGTTCTTAAACGCTATGGTTATCTTTTTCCCTCTGGATTTTAAAGGATGATACTAAGGGATTAAAATTTTGGTTATCAATGTTTCATATTATTGGTTCTATACTTCTATTGTTTTTTCTATCTGATATGTGTTCCTTCAGGTGTCTTCTCCGGGTGTTGAAAGAATAGTGCGGATTCCAGATGACCTGGATCGATTCAAGGAACGACCTATGTATGTGAAATATACGATTAATGATGATTCAAATAATCCATCTGCTGAAGGTGATGGTGTCTTCAAGCTTGAATCCTTTGACATGGAAACAAAATGTTGCACCTGGGGTTTAGCAGACGTGAAAGTCAACAGACAGAAAGCAGGGAAAGGAAGACCACTGAGTAAAAAGCAAAGAGAATGGCGTTTAAGCACTCCTTTTGATTCCTTACGTTTTGTACGGTTGCACTCTGATATTTAAACAATTCATTTTCCCCGAAAGTTGATGATTGGATCTCCATCTTTCCCCCGTATACGTGTCTGTGTATGTATATACACGCACACAAGGAACTGCATGTGTAAATATAATTAGTAGGAGAACAATTAAGTAGTTAACAGTAACATTTGTTATTACGAGTTTACCTCAATTTTTTGCACTTTTGAAATTAACTATGATATTGGGGGTGGCAATCCTTCTTTCACATATTGCACATTTGCCATTGTTCAAAAACTATTTATTTCATGGGAATAGCAAACGAAGAGATGCGGAGGTTATAGAAGCATTGCAGGGAAATGCCACATCTCCTAGAGATGCATGCGGGACCTACAATGCTACCTTTTCCGAAGTGTAAATGTACGACAATTTTGTGAATTTTTTTTTACTAATTATAGAGAAATGGAAAGAGAAGGTAGGGAAAGGAGTGATAAGATGGGTGGTGTGCGTTAGAGAGAGAGAAATTTGTTGCAAAATTTTATTGTGAGAATATTATATCTCTTTTATAAAATTGGAACATTTGGTTCAGTTATGGTCTCTTTTACCAAAAGAAGAAAAAACGTTCTTATTAAAATAAAAGATAAATTTCACTCACACTTCTTGTAGATTAATGATGTTTTACTCAGAATTCCTTCTTTTTCTTTATTAGACAAAGTTATCTTAATTTATGTTATAATATAACATTGTAGTCTTCCTAATTGCATAAGTTATTCGTAACTTTTTACCAGTTATATGAATCAATATAATTTAAAGTAAAAATAAAAAAAGACTTAGTTGTATGAATGGGGAGGTTAAAGTAATATAAAAATTAGAGATATATATTTGCTCAAAAATATATAAAATATTCAAACAAACAATTGTTAATTAATCATCATATAGTTTGTCCATGTAATCTACTTCGTACTATCATTATCATTTTTGTTGTATTTTTTTTTTCAGAAAATTGTTAATTTCAGCTCATAAGACTATTTTTAAATAATTAAAAGTAACAAGATTTTATTTAAAACATAAATATTTATTATATTTTTATAAATTTAATGTAATGAATGTATTTTTCATAATAAAAAACTTAGGACTTGTTTATTTTCTATTTTTAAAAACAGTTTTTAATTTTTTAAAAGTAAAAATAAAATAAATTTGTTTGTTAAAATTATTTTTATTTTTATTTTCTTCTTAAAATATTTTGTTAAATTTTTTTTAAAATGTAATTTTTAAAAATTTTAAACTTAAATAAAAACAAACAAGTTCTTAATGTTTTTAAATCTTTAAACTTAGTTTTAAAAGTTAACACAGACAAAATTTAATTAACAAGGCTAAAATAAACGTAAATGCACTTAACATAAAACTAAGCATGTCAGTCACGCTAAACTCAATATTGATGTGCTTGATTAATTTTTTGAATTAGATACCAAAACGCTTTGACCGCAATGCATTCATTGGAGTACGAGACTAAACGGAGGTTATTTCGGGATTCTTAGCCCCATTGGTTATATGAATGTTCATCTCCCTGTAATTAAATTTCTCACGATAGACGCCAAATAAATAAAGTTTTCATTTATGTCGAGTAGCCAGCAATCTCGTCTTTATTCAGTGTTTTTCTTCTCTCATTTTTTGCTCCCCCTCACTCCCCGTGTGCATCTTGACTTCAATTTCTGGATCGAAATGAAAGTCTTGCACTCTACCTAATGCACTAGGTCTACCTATAAATAAATAAATAAAAGTTTTCTAGGATTATTATGAGTGTATGGTCTTGTTCAAACACTCATATCATTTTGTAGAAGTGACATAATTGCTAATTCGAACAAAGTAATATTGCTGAATGCTTTCAATGTTCTTTTGGCTTTTAGTGTAGACAAGTACCATTGATGACAATAATGCGCTTAAATCTTTCTTGCTAAACAACAACACAATGGGTTTAAAGTCTGTTCATCCAGTCTTGTGAATCAAGCCGTGACCCTTGTAACACTAATGGTCGATTATATTGATTATATTGAGGAGTACTTTTCCTTAGCTCCAAAAATATAGTCCAAAACAAAACAAAAGGAAAAAATTATCCTTCGGTATTTACAAGTCCTGCATTGTGTGTAGACAAAACTAAAATTTTTTTATGAAGGAAATGGGTAGTTGACCTGTAATTTAGATTGTATTAAAATGTATGAAAAAACCATATACAATTATGAGTGTAAATGTATTGCAATAAAGTATACATGAGTCGAATAATGATTGCATTATATGTTACAATTTGCTTTTATGAATTTGAGCCCCGCGCATGTTTGGGAAAGGTATAAAGTGTTTTGGGTCCTTTTTATTAAAACATTAATAAAGTAGAAACCTTAAAAAAATCTACGAGGGAGAGAGGACATGACGAGAACCGAAAAGTCACGGAACAGCAAACATAGGGTTAAACAAGAAAAAGTACAGCTTGGTTTAGAACAATAATTTGTATAAAAAAATAATTAAAACTATTTTAAATTAATTCTAAGAGATTTGAGTTGGATTGAACAATTTCTTTTTCAATTTACTTAAAAATAATAGATAATTTATTTTATCATTTCATCTGCATTATTTTTAAAATAAAGTTAATTGTTTATACAAAATATAAATAGTATCATGCACAAAAATAATTTTAGAAATTTTAAAAATAATATGCTTATATAATCATGAAAATAATAAAATATATTTCTAAACAGTAATAATATGGTATAAATTTAAAAATAAAATTAAAAATAGTTAAGTATTATAATCTTATTAATATAGTCCTAAAAATATGAATAAATTATTAATTTTATAAATAAAATTATATCAGTTTTAATTAAAAAAAAGTTTGTTCACTTTTTACTTAATTTAATTTTTAAGTTTTTCGGTTGGATTTGGCAGTTGTTGCGGCTTCCGAAACAAGAAAAAAATATTAGTAATTGAGGGCCGGCCCAAGCCAACGCTCTTGAAGCAATTGAGACTCTAAAATAAGAGGTTTTCAAAAATGATAACATTAATTTATTAATATTTAGTATTTTAAATATAAATATTATTAATTAGTGTATAATAATATTAAGCCTAAATAATTTTCACTTAAAAAACTCATTTTATTACAGTTTAATTTTCTAATTAGCAATTATGTTATTTATCCTTTTATTTGACTTTTATTTTTTTATTAGTCTTAATTAAAATACATATTTGTTATTATTTAATATAATAAACATTAAAATAAAAAAAATCCAACAACATACATAGTTATCGTAAAACAATTACAATGTCAGCAATTATATATAAAACAATGTCAAAAACTAAATTCAAAATTAATAAAGCATTATTATTAATAATGTTTCAACAAAATTAAATGAATTAAATTTAATATAAATTAACAAAAAACTACTTTATAAAATTGATTACAGAAATTTAATATGTAACTACTCTTTTTTTATTTTTGCAGATATCATTTTTAAATAAATAACTAAAAAATATATCATAAGATTAAATATAAATATTATATTATATTAAATAAAATAAATTATGGAAAATTCAAATTTTAAATTAATATTAAATTTAAAAAAGTACATGATTCATAAAAATCAACTAATCCGAAAAATCATCTCATTTAAAAATCAGTATTTATAATTTATATAAATAAGTTGATTTTATATTTTAAACAAAACAATAATAATTTTAATATATTAGTTTTTAAATTTGTGAAAAACATATTTAAAAGTTGGGCCTAGATTTAGATTAAACAGGACTTGTGTATATTCCCTTTGAAGCAATGAAGAGGAATGATGAATGTGGCAGGCAAATAGGTCCAAAAGAAGATTCCGAGTTGGTTTTTTGACTTGCGGTCTTCTTTTATGATTATATTATCAACTTTGGAACATTATTTTTACCGTTGGCGACACTGCCAATGTAAAAGCCAATCCCTCCCTTAGTCCAAACCTTCTCCACTATGCTACTTTCTGCCAAAATAACATGTATTCATTGCCCTCAAATATGTATTGCAACTTTAACCATTAAATGGTATTTAAATTGCATGATGCATTACATCATTAAATGCAATCATGATTGCTAATATTGATTTAAGCATCAATTTTAATTAGATTTAATGTTTTAAAATTAATTTTACCTAATCTTACAACAAATACATGTCATTCTATTAATATGTACCAAGGAATTCAAAGGCTATCAGCACATTTCATCCCATTTATTCTATGCAATTCGGATCTTGAGGTGGGAATTAACTTTTTTGTTAAAGAAAAGTCCAAGGATTCACGTGCTTCTTTTTCTCCCACTAACAGACTCTGTTCATTAAAGCTATCGTCATATAATTAATTCTATTCATTCTGTTATATTAAAAAAACAATTTGTCTGTTTTACACACATGGATTGAATATATTGGTGATAATTTTTTAATTTAATCTTTAAACATACAATATTTTCAAAAAATTTCCCATTATTTATTACCATTTTAACACTTATATAGAATTTATATGCATATAAAATTATAAGTTCAATTTTTTAATTTATAGTGTTTTTAGGAGTTCTTAAATGAGGATACTTTTAGATGTTTGTCTTCTCTCTCGTCTTATCAATTTTTATATTTAGCATTTATTTTTTAAATTGTGATTCTTTTATATCTTATTATTTATTTTAATATAATAAAGTATTTATTATTAATAATTACAATATTTATTTTTAAAATTTGTAATTTTTGAATTTTTAAAATCGAAATACAAGTTTGTTAATTAATTATTGTCATAAATACTGCGTATCAACAAAATCGAGTATGACATGAATAAACGAATTAGTATAAAAAATTTGAAAGAATACAAATTCATTTATGACATTAATGAATTTGGAATTCAAAATTAAATTTAATTAGGATGCATATTGGATAAAACTTATTTATATTACAGAGAATTATTTTTTTAGAATAATTAATCTTAAAGTCATATTATCAATAAACTTTTATTTATAAATTTTGAATATTAAATTTTCAACTAAAACATTGTATTTGTAGGAGTATTATCAAATAATAAATTTAGGGATTAGTTATTTTTTATATTGTGAATTTATTTTTAATTTAATATTATTTGAAATTTAAAATATTTATACTTTATTTTTAATTTTTAATATAATAGAACAATTATTATTAATAAATATAATTTTTAAATTTATAAAATTAATTTAATTTAAAAATAATCCTACAATATATTTTAATATTCAATGGGACTAAAAAGTCAAAGAAATAGAAAACAAACTAAGTAATTATCCTAAGATACCAAGTACTAACAACATCTAAATGCATAAAAGAAAGTAAAAATGGAAGAGTCTTATCAAAACAAGAAAAAAACTTTTTATATACAGTCTCAACTTTAGCCAATCAATCAGTACACCTGGACCCTCACATAAAATTATTTTAATTTAGCATAACTGGGCCCTCACAGAAAAATTACTAATTATTATAAATTTTTAATTCCTAGTAATGGTTTTTACCTTTTTTATTCCTACTTGTGACTTTATATGATAGGATGGCAGCAAATTCAAAACAATGTAAAAAATTGAGATTAAATAGTAACAAAATATACTTCAGAGCTGTATATAAGGATCAAGTCCTGAGGGAATGGATAAAGGGTGGGTTTCTTGTTAGGAACTTGGAGGAATTCTTGGGATGGGAAAGTGTTGGTTTGTTGGAGTGTTGATTGTGGTGGGCTGTGCCTGCTTTCTAGGCAATGTTGGGGTTGAAGGGTACCCAACTGAGGATATGGTACTGAGGTTGCCTGGTCAACCCAAAGTTGGCTTCAGTCAATATGCTGGCTATGTTGATATAGATGAAAAGCATGGAAGAAGCCTCTTCTACTATTTTGTGGAGGCTGAACAGCACCAAGACAAGAAGCCTCTCACTCTTTGGCTCAATGGAGGTTGGTAGTTTCTACCCTTTCTCCTGTTCAATTGCTAGTGCTTATCAAGTTTCTAATATCTTTCATTCATGCTCTTCACTGTCAATACATTATCATTTTTTTAATGTTCTTTTTAGGCTGTTTTGTCATATTTTTTTCATATTCTTGTTTATATCTTTTGCTGGCAAGCACAGGTGGTTGCCATATATTTGTCCTTGTCCCTACCAATTAAGGTTGTGTTGTTGTCTCACTCGAAAATCCTGTTTGCTTGGACCCCTCATGACAGATCCCCGGGATCAAAATTTTGAAATGACCCTGGATTTTCTGTAGTACTGTATCAGTCCACTGTATATGAAAGATGCAACAATTTTTTTTAATTATGAAGAACCACAAAAGCTACATCAAATATATCAACCTAAAAAGGTTTTTACTTGTTGCAATTATTTTACTGAGTGATTTTAACTCAGAAAGTACCATTCTTTTTCAGGCCCGGGATGTTCCTCCATTGGAGGAGGTGCCTTCACTGAGTTGGGTCCCTTTTATCCTAAAGGTGATGGACGTGGTCTCCGAAGAAACTTAATGTCTTGGAATAAAGGTATGCTATATATGACACAGGTTTTTGACATCAGTTTTCCTTTTGAATTTTATATTGAAGAACAATTTGTGTGTAAATTGATTTCTAATGTTGATATTGTATCTTTCATAGCATCCAACCTTCTCTTTGTGGAATCTCCTGCTGGAGTTGGTTGGTCATACTCAAACACAACTTCAGATTACAACTCTGGAGACGAGTCCACAGGTAAGGACTAAGGATAGTGGTAAATCAATATATACATTGTTGTTATAAAATTATACTTTTGTAGGCTGGAATGCATTTATGTAATTATGTAAGTAAAATATCAAATTTTAAGGGCATGTTATCCAATTTATTTTTACTAGGCATTCATGTAATTATCCTTTTATTTTTGGCAGCCAATGATATGCTTCTGTTCATGCTGAAATGGTACGAGAAGTTTCCTTCCTACAGATCAAGGGAGCTGTTCCTTACTGGAGAAAGCTATGCAGGTCCAAGAAATAATAATCTTATCCTAAGTTTAATAATTTATTTATTTAATTGAAATTCCCAAAAGTTGGTCTCGTGTTCCAAGATATTCTATGTATTGGCTGACGTGATTTAGTTAAGGTTAAACTTTTTATTCTATTTTATTTATGCACATGCACATAACATATGCAGTTATGCTATCATTCCTAGCAGTGGACATGCTATAGAATTATTACTCCATTTTACTTTTTTTTCGTCTTCTTTTGAAAAATAAAAGTCCTCTTTTTCGCTTTTCTTTTTGCTCTTTTACTTTTGAAAAACTGTATTCACACGATAATTCCTATAAACAAGATAGAGGTGGAAAGAGAAGAGCGAAAAATGTAAGATAAATGACTATTGTGATGGAAAAAATAAAGACAAAAAAAGAAGTGTATAATTGTATGAATATGATATATTATTTCTATTGCCCCTGTTCTCGTAATATATTTTTGTTTATCACTAAAATTTATAATGTTCTATAGGACATTACATACCCCAGTTAGCTAGTGCTCTTCTGGACTATAATGCTCATTCAACTGGTTTCAAATTCAATATTAAGGGAGTTGCTGTAAGATTCCTTTCTTATGATTCTTTTGGCATTTATTTATTCATAAGTTTATATTTGTGTTATTTTGAAAGTTATTTTATTCTTTCTTCATTGACTTTCACTTGTTAGATTGGAAACCCACTTCTGAAACTTGATCGTGATGCACAAGCAACATATGAATACTTCTGGTCACATGGAATGATCTCCGATGAAATTGGCCTTGCCATCATGAATGATTGCGATTTTGATGATTATGTCTTTGAAACTCCACATAATATGTCTAAATCATGCAACAACGCAATTGATGAAGCAAACGACATTGTTGGGGATTATATAAACAACTACGATGTAATTCTTGATGTTTGTTATCCATCCATAGTTGAACAAGAACTGAGATTGAAAAAAATGGTACTTTGCCTCTTTCATTTTTGTTCTGGTGATATTTTATTTATTTTTAACAAAATTATTATTAACTAATTAATTTGATTACTTTAATGCAGGCTACTAAAATAAGTATAGGTGTAGATGTATGTATGAGTTATGAAAGAAGCTTTTATTTCAACCTCCCTGAGGTTCAGAAGGCTCTACATGCAAACCGTACTAATCTTCCATACTCTTGGTCCATGTGTAGTGGGTAAGTGATTCATATTTTGGAAATAGCTATGTGAAACAATTGTAATCTTCTGTGTTTCTTTAGGATTCAAACTTACAAACAAAGAATACCATTAATTGAATCTCTTAAACTACCTTGAATGTTTATACACCTTCAATTTAAATAGAAGCAGAAACGCAATGATTTGTTAACAACATTCAGCAAAATATATTCTATTACTCTATGTCCTTATAGCAGTGCATTTAGGTTTGGTAGTGTATATTTAGGACCATTTATTATTGAAAAAATACAATTAATAACGTTAAAATAAATGTAAATTTATGACCTTCTAAAAATGAATTCAAACACGCAGTTAATCATGATAAACGGATCACACCATTTATCATTCCTCTACTCTCATCATTGATGTCTAATCCCCACATTTTTTCATTGCAGTGTTCTAAATTATAGCGACACCGATCCTAACATAAATATCCTTCCAGTTCTCAAAAGGATAGTTCAAAACCATATTCCAGTGTGGGTTTTCAGGTAATCTCATTTCACAAGGGAGACCCATTATAATTTCCTACTTATATATACTTTATTTTTTGCCGCATGCTTATAATTTTTGTTAAATTATCACAGTGGAGACCAAGATTCTGTTGTGCCATTACTAGGTTCTAGATCACTCATTCGTGAACTAGCTCATGAACTGAAGTTCAAGATTACAGTCCCATATGGAGCTTGGTTCCACAAAGGCCAGGTATGTGACAATTTCATTTTATACATATTGAAAAAGAATTCATTTAATTTTTCTCTGTTATGATTTTGCTTTAGTACACTAAGTGCAAATATTTATTATATATGCACAGGTTGGGGGATGGGTAACAGAGTATGGAAATTTGTTGACTTTTGCCACTGTAAGGGGAGCTGCCCACATGGTACCATATGCACAACCTTCAAGAGCACTTCATCTTTTCAGTTCATTTGTGCGTGGCAGGAGATTGCCAAACACAACGCACCCTTCAATTGAAGATTAAAAAGATGGATCTCCCAACTATTTCATTCTTAGATTTTATGATTTTTATCCTAAAAGAGGACGGAGAAAGGAGTATCTTTTTATTGGCCCGTAGCAATTGTATGGAAAAGAAGAGGGGAGTAAGTTTAAAAAAAGATTCAATTCTTTTCAGTATATTGATTTCCTGCATTGTTCTTTATTCTATATTTCGAAGCACATATTATGCGCTTTGTTAAAAGAATTAATTAATCGTTATTCGGTTGTTCGGTGTATATTATTCATTGCTATCTTAGGCAAATTAGGGATGGCAAATTGGGTTTAGCCCACATAACTCACTAAATTTGATGGACCGAACTGAATGTTGTGGATATAACTGCCTCCTAGCCTATCTCGTTTTAACCTATTAAAATGCAAATTAAGTTAGGCTTGTTGGGCTCAAATTTTATTTTTTAAAAAATAAAAAATAATAAAATATTAAATTTTATTAATATAAAAATATTTTTATTATTTATTGTAATTTATTTTTTTAGTTAATTTTTAATAGATTAGTCCATTAATTTAATGGTTCACTAATTTATATTTTTTTTTTACCGGCTAGACCGTTAAACTTATTATAATGAGTCAAAAAGTCTATGTGATAAAATTAAGAGTTAAAACATTCATAAGATTAAGCAGGTTAGAGCTAATATATAGGTCAACTAATTTTTAAAAAAATTATTATAATCATTAAATTTTCTCAATATATTATTTTATAATTTTATTTGAGTATTAATCATAAATTTTTTAATATTTTTATATTATTATATTTTATTTATTTATTTTTATAAAATATCTTAATAACATCATATATTGAATAAATATTTTTAAAGTCACAAAATAATATAAGTTAAATTTATTAAGTCATTTGTTATCAAATTATTAAAATATTTAAAATAATTTATTTTAATGAAATTTAATATGTTAAAAAATATAAATATAATATCATTATTATGAAAATTATTAACATGTAATACTTAATATTATCAAATTTATAAATACAGAAAAGTAATTTATAAACTTCACAAAAATTAATAAATGTTTAAAAATTTAAAATCTGACTTATCTTAATTTGTTATAATTTATTTTTAAAGTAAAATAATTTGATAAGACAAACTTGATAAATAATATTTTTAAAATATATTTTTATAATTAAAATATATTAATTTTAAATAAAATAATTTAATAAAAATAATAAACAAATAAATGTATCTTTTATTAGAAATAAAAAATATTTATTAATTATTCTATAAAAATTTATTTATTTATTTATTTTTATAAAATTATTTTTAAAAAATGATGTCTTTAATAAATATTTTTAAAATTATAATAGAAACATAAAAATAACAATAAAAAATAATAGTAGCTAAATTTATTAAATTATATATTATAAAATATTTAATAAATAAATATTATTATCATAAAAATTATAGATATATGATACTTAATATTATAAAATTATTAATATAAAAAAATAACTTGTAAACTTAATAAAAATTAATAAATATTTATAAATTTTAATTTTAATTAATCTTAAGTTGATAAAAATTTTTATTTTTAAAATATATTTTATTAATTTTTAATAAAATAATAAATAAATACATATATATTTTTTATTAAAAATAATATAATATTTATTAAATATTTTTAAAAAAATATAAATTAACTCATGTTTTATTTATATATTAGAGCTTAAGTTCTAGTAAACCGAATATATATAGGATTTAAAAAAATTAGAGCTATATAATATGTTGAGGGGGGAGGCTTGGGGACCAGGACCAAACTGACAGCTCTAGTTGTAGGCTTGCGCGCAGAGAAGCAACATTTTCATCATAAGTTTAGAGTTTGCAGCATGAGTCACCGAGGAATGGGCCGCGACGACGAGGAGGAGGAGGAGCAGGTTGCCGACTTCGACGAGGAAGTGGAGGAGGAGGAAGAGGATAATAGAGGACGCAGTGGCGGCAGGAAGCGGAGAAGATCTGGTTTCATCGACCATGATGAGAATTTCGATGGCCGAGGTGGTCGCAGGCGCTAGTATAAGAAGGTTTCTGCTTCCAATTTTTTTGACGAGGAGGCTGTGGTCGATTGTGATGAAGAGGAGGAAGAGGAGGAAGGCGAAGATGGTGCGTTTTCCACTTTTCTTATTGTTTTCTATTAGTTTTAGAGGCAAATCAATTCGGTTAGATTTGAATTGGGGTGGAATTAGGGTTGGAAGTGGGAATTTAGGGTTTGTCTTCTTCATGTTACTGAGTATTGTAATTGGTGGTATTGATACTCTGTTCACGTTGCCTTTAGACTTCAGTTGTTTTATGTTGTGACTTGTGAACCTAAACTATGATATACTGAAGGGTATCTAAAAACAATAATAGTTTTCAAAGACATTTTCGTCCGAGTGTTTTCTACCATCAGGAGTTTAATATTAACCAGCACAATAATTGTCTCGTCTGAGTCTGATTTCCTTATCCCTGTTTTTTTAAGACAGCCAAACTTGTTACCTAGTGATATTCAATGCTTGTTTGATTCAATTCTTGTTTTCAAGAGTTATTTCTCTGAATAAATTATCAAAAATTGTATTCGATGAATTCTGTTTTAAGAATAAGTTTTGAATGCTCGAGAACACTGACGGTAGTGGTGGTGGTTTGAAGTGAGAGTTGAGATTACATGAAAGCTGGTAAAATGTGTTCAAAACTATTTTCTACTCTAAAAACAGGTTGTGGAGGACAAGTTTAAAAAATAAATCAAATAAAAAAAATTAATTTTAAAAATGGGACATACAATTGAAGTGTTTTTATGAATACATAAATTCAGATTGTATGGATTAGTTTGTATCCTCTCTATCTCTGCCCTTCAACATGTCTATTATTAATGTATATGAGGCTCTCAGCTACTTTGTGGTAAAATACATCACTTATTTATGTAGATATGTTAACAACTGTTGAAACATGCAGACTTCATTGTTGAGGGTGGAGCTGATCTACCAGAAGATGATGGTAGAAGGATGCATAGTAGCCGTATGCTGCCACATCACCAAGAAGATCATGAAGATCTCGAAACTATGGCCAGAAGCATTCAGGAAAGATATGGAAGGCGAGTACCAGATTATGATGAAGAAACTACAGATGTTGAACAACAAGCTCCTTTGCCATCTTTGAGAGATCCAAAGCTGTGGATGGTCAAATGTGCGGTATGATCCTTCCATTTGTGATGAATTCCTTGTTCTTGCACGAATATAGAAGCATGCCATATAAATATTCTTTGGTTTATTTTCACTAGATTGGTTGTGAGCGAGAAACAGCTGTTTGCCTCGTGCAAAAGTACATAGATAAGGGGTCTGAATTGCAAATCAGATCAGCTATTGCTCTTGATCATCTAAAAAATTATATATATGTGGAAGCAGATAAAGAGGTCCATGTTAGAGAGGTATCGTCATGTCTGTTGTAATAAATAACACAAATTTTTATAGATAGAACTGTGATTTTTTATATATATTTTGCATTTGTTTTCAGGCTTGCAAAGGTCAGCGCAGTATATTTGGCCAAAAAATAATGCTTGTTCCTATCAGAGAAATGACTGATGTTCTGTCAGTTGAAAGCAAGGCTGTTGATCTTGCCAGAGATACATGGGTCAGAATGAAGATTGGGACATACAAAGGGGATCTTGCTAAAGTATGCAGCACATTCTAGAAAATTTTGATGTTCTGTCATAAAAGGGATGGCCCTTTTACTTTCTTTATTTACCATCAGATATTTCTTCTATAGAAAGTGGATGTTGATAATGTGCGGCAGAGAGTTACTGTGAAACTAATTCCAAGGGTAGACTTACAGGCCCTTGCAAACAAATTGGTATGAAATATTTCAGTGTCTTGCTAAATTGATGCATTCTATTTGACCAATGCTTATATTTTTAACTTTCTTGAAAGTCTAAATAGCTTGACTCTATAATTTTTTGCAAATCACTTGTGTTGTGCAGGAAGGTAGGGAAGTTGTGAAAAAGAAGACTTTTGTTCCTCCTCCTCGATTTATGAATGTTGACAAGGTATTGCTGGTTCTCTCCTTTTGTCACTGAATGTCTTCTGTTTCTTGGAAACTTTTCAGTTCCTGGTTTGATTAAATTTATGCTTTCTATTCAGGGAACTGCATATTTGTGTGGAGCATGGACGTGATGCATATGGGGAAAGATTTGATGCGATTGGCAGCATGATGTTCAAAGATGGATTCTTATTCAAAACTGTATCAATAAAATCCATTAGTGCTCAGAACATCAAACCTACTTTTGATGAGCTTGAAAAATTTTGTAAACCAGGCGAGAGTGGTGATGGTGATGTTGCTAGTCTGTCAACTTTGTTTGCAAACAGAAAGAAAGGGCATTTTATGAAAGGTGATGCTGTCATTATTGTCAAGGGCGACTTAAAGAACTTGAAGGGGTGGGTAGAGAAAGTTGATGAAGATAATGTTCATATAAGACCAGAAATTAAGGGTCTTCCGGTAAGTATGAATTGATAATTGGTTGGTTTTCTTCCCTTGTAGTATGCTGGTTTTGCATGTTGATTTGTAATAAATTTTTTTCATAATGATCTAATTGTCATTTTTTCTACTTGTCAGAAAACTCTTGCTATGAATGAAAAGGAACTTTGTAAATATTTTGAACCTGGAAATCATGTTAAGGTTGTTACTGGTGCTCAAGAGGGTGCTACTGGCATGGTTGTGAAGGTGGAGCAGCCTGTCTTGATCTTAATATCTGATACAACAAAAGAGCATGTGAGTCTTGTGGCCCCATTATAGATTTACTAAAAGACTTGTGAATCTCTTATTATATTTAGTGCAGAAATGACATAAAAGTATCCTTTCTTTAGATTCGTGTATTTGCTGATGATGTTGTTGAAAGTTCTGAAGTGACCACCGGAGTTACATGAATCGGGGACTATGAACTTCGAGATCTTGTATTGCTAGAGTAAGCCTTTCTTTTGTGTTTTGAGATTAGGCATAGTACCTTACCTCTGCATTCTATGGTTCAAACTATTCTCACTTCTAATTTGCCCTTAGCAATTGTATGGAAAAGAAGAGGGGAGTAGGTTAAAAAAAAGATTCAATTCTTTTCAGTATATCGATTCCCTGCATTGTTCTTTATTCTATATTTCGAAGCACATATTATGCACTTTGTTCCTAAATGCCTTGCATATCAAATAAAAGTATAAAACTGTTTGGCAATTTGATACTTATCATATATAAGTCCTGAGTAATGCAAAATGAATCAAATTGAAATAAAATTTTAAATTGATTTTGAATCCCATTTTTTAAGTTGATTTCTTGCACTCTTCGAAGTTATGAAAATAATAGAATGAAAGTCAATTTTAGTAACTAAAATTTGTCACCCATAAATTAAAGACTAATATGATAGAAAATATATAATTAAAATATTAAAATTAATTTTAAAAATATTAAAATTAATTTTTACTTTCAAATTTTAATAAAGTTGGGGTGTGAAAATGAGTTGATCCACTTAACGAATCCAAATACTTTAATATGTGGAGTAGATCGAGGTATGAAATCCACCGGATTTAATTGGCTCATGTGAGCCCAATAAAAACAAATAGTAAGCCCTTTTTTTTTAAAATATTTGTTTGTACTCGTATATATTCAGACTTTTTTTTTTCTTTACATTGAATTAGTTATATCCGTGTGTTAGAAATAATAAATTTTGAATTATATGACGTATTAAATATTGATATTCAACATAATATTATTTAATATTAACGTATATGTTAATATAAGACTCGAAAGCTAAGTTAAAATAACCTTTAATCTGCGGGCTCAGCAGTATTATATTATTATTTTAATCATGAAGTATTTTATTTTAAAAAAGGAAACTATATATTAATTATTCACTGCAAACAAAGTTATCATTTACCAACGCACAAAACAAAAATATGTCAGTTAAGTGTTAGAACAACTTTAATCCACATAACCTTTGTTTAACAATATATAAAGGTATTTCATGTATTAATAATATATATTAATATTTTTACTAACAAAATCATTTTTTAGTAACCGAATTTTAAACTATTAGTATATAGCATTTTGTTTTCATAACAAAGCTAGAACATTAAACCGTCATCACATTAACAGGATATTGAGAAATTGTGAACACATTTTCATATAAATTGAGATAAACTTTATTATTTTTTTATAGTTTCACTTCTTTTAACTTGTTTTCCCTGCCTGCTTTGTATTACTAATTCTCCCTAAATATTTAAAAAGTCATTTGCTAGACAAAATGTTAGGCATTGTAGATTAATAATACAAGAAATTATTTTAATATTTTATTACTAACAATATATGTCAATTTTTATATCAATAAGTTATTTATTAGCATAATATATTATGAATAATGTAACTTTTGTTAAGTAAAAATAATCTCAGTTGAGATTAATCTAATGTAATTTCTTTTCCATTTTTTTCAAGTAAAATTTGTTTAAAATGTTTTAGATTCGATTTTTTTAAAATAATTAGAACAAAGTTGTATAATAAATAAAATTTTTTAGTTCATAAATTTAGTAAAGTGTGATAGTCTAAAGAAGAACGCAATATGTCATTCTTTTAATAAACAGTGGATAAATAACGGGAGAAGAAAGAGACAATAAAAGAAAACAGATACTTAGGACTTGTTTATTTTTGTTTTAGTTTTTAGTTTTTAAAAATTTTATTTTAAAATATTTTAAAAATTTATTTTTAAGAAGAACATAAAAATAAAATTTATAATAACAAACAAATTTTATTTAAATAGAAAAAAAACAATATATATTTAAACTTTTACAGTGATCTAGTTTCTTTTGTTTTTTTTAATAAAGACAAAATTGGTCACGGTCTTGAAATTTGGTAAAGAAATTACGTTACTGTTGTACGAGGGTGACTTTTCACCTTTAAGGCAACATAAATTTACTAAGCATTTTACATTTTTATCTTTTACTATATTTTAAGTGATAATTAAATCTCAATCCTAAATAGGAATTAGAAAAATAAAGATGAACATTTTAACAAACTTAAAATTATAACTAAATAGTAATTAGACAAAGATATTGGAATTTAACATTTTTCACTTCAAAGAGGTTTAGTTATTAAAATAATAGAGACAAAGTTGAAAAATGGTAAGAATATAACAAAGCAAATTACCCTATAAATTAAAAGAATAAAATAAGCTTAGAAAAAAAAAATCAATACAATTTGCTGATTAAAAAAAAAAATTAAACAAACACAGAGAAAGAAATATAATCAAAGGGAGAATAGGATTATATTGCTTGTGTACTTGTATTAGAACTGAAGTCTTTTCAACTAGATTTTATGTCTTACCCAGGTTTATAAAAATTGCTGGCCACATTTAGTTGCATGTTTGGAGGACTTGGGGGTTGTGATTGGTGCGTGAAATTGGAAGGCTTGAAGAGAATGTGGTTCCTTGCAGATCCAAAATATGACTTAGAAGTGATGTTTCTGTCGAAGCGTGCCACTACCATCCTGGTACGACGTCCCTTTCTCATTAACCCTTCTTGACCCACATTATGGTACTAAACATGTTGGCTGAAACGTTGGACTATCTCTTATGAGGTTGTGCTCATCTCATCGTTGGTGGTCGCGGTGTCAATTGTCTCGGAAGCTATCACAGTTGAAGAGACATTGTTGTTTGGTTGGCATTTTAGTTTGATATATACCGCTGATTGTTAACGTGTTTCTGTAATGGTTTTGATTATTTAATTATTTCCCAAACGATAAAGTTTTTATTTAAAAAATCCAACTTTATTACATTAGATCTCGATAGCTATTGCTATACCAAAAATAGGGGTTCAAACATTAAATCAAAGTTGGAGGGAATATTTTTAAATTTAAACTTTAGCACTTTGTAGTATGAAATAATTAATTCTTAAGAGACTTCTCTACGCTTAAAATTTTGGTAGAAAAAGATTGAGTCGTGACAAAATAAAACAACAGGCGACCAAACTTTAAAAGAATTAATTAATCGTTTTCAGTCGTTTGGTGTATATTATTCATTGCTATCTTAGTCAAAACGAATCATCTGAGTGAAGATGCAAAAATTGTTAATAATTTACAATAACGACGATGTTGAAAGAAATTATAAAGGAATTGCGTTCGACGCAAGCCAGCTTATTCCTGTTGCTGTTAAGATTAAAATCAACACCATGATAAAAAAATATGAAAAATAAAAGTGCTCAATGATTTGTTTTCTTATTTAACTGAATTGGGCAGTGTTTTGGGCCTTACCTTCTGGTCCACTAAACTGTTACATTATTTTTTCACTGAATAAATAATAAATAAAAATAAAAAGGTTAGTGGACCAAAAGAAAAGGCAAAGAAGTTGGAGGTTGTTTCGGTAACTTGGGTTCGTTTCCTCGTGAGCACCGACAGATTTTAATGCGCAATTAACTTTGATTCTGCTTTTTTTTCCCTTAACGTAGCCAAAGCAACCAAGGCATTCTATGTAGCCAGTACTAGGATTGGAATATATTTACAATGACTGAAATGCCCTCAACCTCCAACTATATTGCAGCCTTTCCATGTTGCACACTGCACACAACCAGCTTCAACCACAACTACCACCTTTTGCATTAACCCCCCCACCCAACTCAGTTCCATAAAATCTCACTTGATAAAACTTTAGTCCTTCAATTTGCTGTTTTTCCTTTTTCTTCTCTGTCAACACTTTGCAATTCCCTGTCTCTAAACTTGCCATTTCCTAGTCTTAAATTTGTATGAATATTCTGTTTTAGTGTTTACCAAACTGGTTTCCCTTCTACTAATATAAGCTTAGTGTTTAGGCATTGAAAGCAGCGTATTTTTGTTCACTAAGTTGGGCAGTTTTCAAATTTCCTTCTTAGAGAACATTTGCCTGTGGTAGTATTTTAACATATATGTAGCGTCCTGTGTGTACATTTACAATGGATGTATGGGATAGTTGGTGGGTTTTGCAAGTTATGCAGTTGCTGGGTTTGTTTAGTTTTTGGATTTCGTTTGCAAAGTTTAGAACTTTACTCTCAAGGGCCTTTGGTTTTGGTCACAAAATAATTAAGGGTGACTGCAATGCATGGATCTTTGTTTCCTTCAATGGGTTGGTCACAGCTGGTTCTTTGATATCCTTGCTCTTGATCCTTTCCTGGGCTTATTCATATGCATTTCCCAGTTCTCCCTCAGTGATTAAGAGTTATGACATTCCCAACAGTTCTCATTCACTTGTTCAGAGTTTTCAGATTCTAAAATCAAATGTTTCAAGGGGCACCTGCAATGTGTTTGAAGGAAGTTGGGTAAAGGATGATAGCTACCCTTTGTATGATGCTTCTCATTGCCCTTTTGCTGAAAGGGGTTTTAATTGCCTTGCTAATGGGCGTAAAGACAGAGGTTATACAAAATGGAGGTGGAAACCAAAGAATTGTGATATTCCAAGGTTTGATGCCCGTAAAATACTCGAAGAACTTCGTGGGAAAAGGGTGGTTTTTGTTGGGGATTCATTGAGTAGGACCCAATGGGAGTCCATGATATGTATGCTAATGACAGGAGTTGAGGATAAGAAGAGTGTCTATGAAATCAAAGGCAACAAGATCACCAAACAGATAAGATTTTTAGGTGTAAAGTTTAGTTCTTTTGATGTTAGAATTGACTTTTATCGATCGGTGTTCTTGGTGAAGCCTGGTTCTGTGCCCAGACATGCACCCCAGAGGGTGAAGACAACACTGAGATTGGACAAGATCGATGATATTAGTCATGAGTGGATTGACTCTGATGTTCTGATATTCAATTCAGGTCACTGGTGGACACGGACTAAACTTTTTGACATGTGAGTAGTTTCATTTTCCTGATATGACATGCATTTTTGGTACATGGTAGATACATATGTTTTAACGACAATATATATTTTTTATTTCTTTTATACATTCAACGTTGGATTTACTCCTCAACTAGTCAACTACATGCTTTATGATAATACTTTTCAACTTGATTTTCATCTTTGGATCCGTAGAATGCATGCTTTACTGGCAATTTATAAATGATAACAATTACATGATAGGGAAATGGAACAGCTGAGAGCTGTATTTTTAACTGTACCAACTACAGTCATAATCCTAGGGCTGAAAATTTTGACGTCTATTAATATTTTAACATAAAACCGAAAATAAAACCTAGGGTGAGGATCCGCTTCAGCTTTTAATCCAGAGGATATAAGTCTCAGAATCTCACTGTGCTGGATGTTCAAAAGACCTTCAACTAGCACTAGCTTTTTTTCAAATGACCTCATCCATATGATAATTTTGGGTACTATTGATCAAACTGAGGAAAAATTTTAGATCTACCTGTACTTGCTGCTGAGAAAAGTTATCTTTCTGAATATTTGTTACGAGTATTACTGGGAATATTTTGAAATCTATCTCATTTTTCTGTTTCTAGAATAATTCTTAACAAATGTTATTCCTTGTACAAAAAAAGTTTTTCTAAAGAGAAGCTATGAACCAGGTCCCGTAAGATACAAAATAATGTTTTTTATACAAATTTGTTGAGGGGTCGTGGAGCTTTTGGTCTTCATAATTCTTTATATGTGATGTGCATATACCATCGAAATTGACATCAATGAAACTTCAACAAGATGATGTCTTATCACCATCTCTACGATGAGGCATCTAAAATATGAAACTAGGCTTATTTGAAATGATTTGATGGTCTCTAATGTACAAATTGTCCATTGAGCAGCTTTAAACAAAAAGCAGACTTGTGACTTCAATTATAGGTTTTGAGCCACAAATTAGAAGATTGTTGTTTTTGGACTTTCTTTTACTCCCTTGATATGAGCTAAAGATGAACTTGAGATTTTCTGATGTGCAGGGTCATGGTCACAGCAGAATAGTTAATAGCAACAACTTTGAATGTGGTTTTATCTTACAATCCTTTTCTTTGATAATATGATTATTTCAACTCATGTGACCGTAAATGGATTTCTCTGAGAGTTGATAGTTTCTCAATTTATACATATGGTTTAAGCCGCTGCCATCCTGAATGTAATTTAGTTTTTCATTGTATTTGTGGCATTTGTCTTGTTTTGAAATATCAACTTCCCAACTCAGGAAGATATGAAAATTTTTGGATATATTCATCTCTTTTGAATATTTTTGACTCTCAGTATGTATGCATATTAGTTCCATACATGACTAGGACTAAAATTTTCATGAGGATTAAGATCAACCATTAGGTGCTAATGGGATCTTCAGACAGGGGCTGGTATTTTCAGGTTGGTAGCTCAGTGAAGCTTGGAATGCCAATTAATTCTGCTTTCAACACAGCTTTGCTCACCTGGGCGTCTTGGGTGGAGAATACCATTAACACAAACAGGACAAGAATATTCTTTCGCACCTTTGAATCCTCTCATTGGAGGTGGGTGTATTTTTTATCAAGTTCTTAGATGTGGGACAATGCCTAAATATAAACCAAAAAAAATATTTAGCTCACTATTCTTTTGGTAACACAAAGGCCATCGAATTTGATGGTAGGTGTGACTGTGATGTCAAGTGGTAACTGTTAAAATGCTTGTGTTTGTGGCAGTGGACAGAACCATAATGCGTGCAAAGTGACTCGAAAGCCTTGGAAGAGAACTAATGGGAGGGAGAAAAGCCCAATTTCAGATATGATAAACAGAGTTGTAAAAAACATGAGTGCACAGGTAACAGTTCTGCACGTTACACCAATGACTGCATATAGAAGTGATGGGCATGTGGGCACTTGGAATGACAAGCCTTCTGTGCCTGATTGTAGCCATTGGTGTTTACCAGGTGTTCCTGATATGTGGAACCAAATTCTTCTCTCATATTTCCTTCCAAAACAAGGACCAAATTAGCATCAGAGTTACCACTTAGCTGCCAACTTGTAGTCCTTGTGTTATTTAAGCCATCTAGCTTGGTACTCAACTGTACCCTGCATCAACCCTGTTAACTTTTAACGTGCGAGCTTAACAGGGGACTAATGTTTATACAAAATTTGATTCAAGAAATAAAGTTAACCTGTGTGAATTAAAAAAATCTCTTGATATCAAATAATTCTTTGATTTCATTTAATATTCTGTTCACTAGGGAATTCAACTGAATAGTAGACAAATTCTTATGCTTTGTTTGGATAATGGGATGAAGTAAAGGGCAAAAAAAAATGTGAGATTGTGAAATACAATAGAAGCAGAGTTTAGAAAAATGTTAATAAGATGGGTAAAAATAAGAAAGAAAAAATGGAAAAAAAATTTCTCTATTTATTTAGATGAATGAAAAGGCAACAAAAATAAAAATGTACATTGCTCAAAAATGTTATTATAATAATGTAATGAAAAGAAAAATCAAAACCTTTAATATGATTTTTTTCTTATTGTTCATTATTTTTATATTATTTTTAAAAAGTATTTAACTATAAAAATTTTTAAAAAATGAAAGTAAAAATCTAATGTCCCTCTCCACCCATTTTCAAGGCTTTAATATATTTTTTTGGAAGTGCCACTTTCCTAATTTGTTTTCCTTATACTAAATGATAAAGTCCACCAAGAAAGAGCATATATGTTTGTTTTCCTTTTTAAAAATAGTTTTTTGTTTTTAAAAATAAAATATAATATAAATTGTTCTTTCATCTTTAAAATTACTCCTCCAAATTATTTTCCTTTCAAAATTATCTTAAAATTTTAAATCACATCACAACAAATGGTCTAGATTATTTTCTACTAGTTGCTTTAAAAAAAATCCCTTTTTGAAAACTCCATTATGCTGGAAAAAAAAAAAAAAAACCTAATCAATGGGTCTCCGGACTCCCTTTCCTTTTTCTATAAAATATAAGGAAAAAGTTTGCGCATATTGAATTTTACATGGATCTTGCAAGGATTTGAGTAATTAGAATTTTTCAATATTTATCTCCCTCAACTATTACTTTAGTTCCACCTTTGACTTTAATAAATTTTCTTAAGCACTATACCCTTTAGTTTAATATAATTCATTGTAATTTTTCATTTAACTTAATAGTTAATTTTAACATTATTAAATTAGACAGAACTTATAAACAGCTTTTTTTCTAATTTAAAAGCTATTTTTTAATCAAAATTAGAGTATTACTTCAGTACAAGGTCTACGTTTAAGGTTGTCATGAGTTTTCATTAGAAGCCAACACCAAAAGTATTTAAAGGATTGTACCTAATTTTATCTGATTAAATTTTGGCTAAAATTATTTTTAAGAGATTATCGAATTTTAACCCAACCCTAAATAGTAATTAAGAGATAAAAGAAAGAAGTCAGAGTAATTCAATTTTCAATAGGTAAGAAAAGAAAAATAATATTAGGAAAGTAACTTTGGCAACGTCAAGAGGGTATAAAAGAGAAAGTGAAAGTGAAATTTTTTGTTTAAAAGTTAAAAACAAATTAATTCTTGTATTTCTCCATAAAAAGCACACATTCTAAGAAAATGTATGGTTCAAATTAACTCACATATGTATTTCAATCATATCCAGTTGAGCAAAATAACATTTTCAACTACAAATTAGACCAGGGCATAATGTTTACTTGATAGTTTCAAATTGAAAAATATAGAGATGAAAACTGACGAAATAAAGACGAGAAATCAAAATTAAACTGAGCATATTAAAACAACCAAAACATATTCTTAAGGCCAAAAACAGTTTTGATTTTGATTAACGTAAACTTTTGTTCACTTGAAAAAAATTACCCAAAATTTATTAATCCCAATTTCGGTTCAGGTAAATGATCTCTTGTCTTCTAGATATAGATTTACTTAAAATTAACATCATTAAACATTAACAGTAAATTAGATAAAGGGGGTATCATTTGAATTATATTATATCATAGTGTGGTACGTTTAAATTGATTTGATTTATGAGCTATAGAAAGTGTAATTGGAATTTTAATTTAAAAAAGGTTAAATACTTTTTACCCAACTGTTTAATTATAAAAAAAAAGTGTCAAACGTGAGAGATTGCGAAAGAAAAAATATTTTAAGTTTTCTGTATCATACTATCATTTGATTGGATGTTTTGCATATTTTTTTATTTTTTATTTTATCGTTGGATTTAACTATTTCAAAGTGAGAGGTACATTCGGCTAAAATTTTAAATTAATAATTTAAATATACTTTGTCTTGGAAAGAGCATTTTCCTTATTTTAGAATAAGTGTCTTATTTATTTATTTATTTATTAATATTATGGTTTTGAGTTTATGAGAAGCTACAACTTATCTGAACAGGAAGTGGACTCAAGTTAAGATAGATTAAGTTTGACCAAAATAAATTTGAAATTGATTAAATTTTTTTAGACTACATTAGAATAAGTTTATTAAAAATTTTCATTTGACTCGAGTTACATTGGGTCATTAGGTTTATATTAGGAGCCAATATGTGTGCGTATGTAGCTAAAGTGGCCCTCTAGTGATGTCATTTTAATTTGATTATTTCTGGTACACATCTCAGTAAACATAATATCTTCGTTTTTTTTAAGCTTTTGATTTAAAAATAGAAATGGTAGAAGCAACAATTATTTTACCAAAACCACTGAAGAAAGGTACATGTATTGTTTTATACCAAAATCACTTTAATTACTACAAGAACAACAAATTGACAAAAACATTTTATTTATCCAGCATCAGACAATCCCAGCGGCAAAGGCTCTATCATTCTCTACATTCCAACTTTCACAAATTCAATAATCCTAAAGGGATTACACAAGAAATTTATTTTTTCTTTCACAACCACAAAGAGAACCCCCTTCACCAACTGGGACTAATTCATCATTGTTTTTTACTTTTACTCTCCCATTCGAATGATGCATCTGATGGACTCCCCTTTCAACATATAATCAAAAGCTTTGTTAATCTCAGAGAATGCAACTGTGTGGGTGATGAATTTCTCAATTTCTAGTTCCTGCAGCATCACCGTAAGAACACACATTAGCAACACGGATAAGATATCATCCTGCAATCCTAATTTGTCCTAAAATACTGCACAATTCAATCAATATATTTATAATATAAACTTACCCCTTTCATGTACTTTTCCACAACACTAGGAAGATCAGTGCGGGGTTTGTAGTTACCATAGAAGGTACCCTTAAGAGTTCTCTCATTCAAGAAATTCATAGGATGAGTTCTGAATGCATCATCTTTGTTTGGCACTCCAACAAGTACAGCAACACCCCAACCCTGAGAAGAAAAACCAAGGTTCAGACTTAGAAAGCTTTATACAAACTTTTTCAGCATAAACAGAGCAAATGAGTTCTGATATACATACATCGTGGACACATTCGAAAGCTGAGATCATGGCCTGGATGCTGCCAGTACATTCAACAGCACGATCCACACCTCCATTTGTCATTTCAGCAATTACCTGCGCAACAACATTCACATCTCAATATCTCTCGTATCAAAACGACACAGCACTTTCAGTTCCTAGGATCAGAAATTAGAAGTCAATATTGAAAAAAACACAACCTTGAGATAATAGAAAAATAATAAACTTCACTAAATTGTCAATGAACCCACCTCTTGTACAGGTTTGTCATGATCTTTTGGGTTCACAAACTCATTGACCCCGAACTTTTTAGCTGACAACAAGAAAAATAAGAAACACCATCAATAAGTAGATAGTCATTTTAATATATTTTGAGCTGAATCTTCAAGCATTTGTTGGAAGAAGATAGCAATCTACCTTCTTCAAATCTGCTGGAAACTAAATCAACCCCAATGATTCTTGATGCACCAGAAATCCTTGCCCCTTCAGCAGCCTAATTTGGATTAAAGAGAAGAGGAGTTAATATTTGCCTTCTTTATCAGTTGCTATAAAACATGCAATACACATAAGGATACTGTTAACATACAGCAAGGCCAACAGCTCCAAGTCCAAAAATGGCAACAGAAGAACCAGGTTTTGGTTTAGCAACATTGACAGTAGCTCCAAGACCTACAAACAAGCATGAGTGGAATTGAACAATGAGAAAGCGAGTTGGGTGTTTTTTCTAACATTATTATATAACCATCTCAAGGTCGGATCTTCCAAACCTGTGCATATTCCACAACTGAGGACACAGATTTTATCAAGTGGAGCAGCAGGGTTGACCTTTGCAACACATCCAGCGTGGACCACAGTGTATTCACTGAATGTAGAGGTACCGACAAAATGGTAGATGGGTTTTCCATTTATAGAGAATCTTGATTGGTTGTCATTGATCATGACACCACGATCCGTGTTTATCCTTAGCAGATCACACATGTTGCTCTCCTCCGACTTACAATGTGAGCATTCCCCACACTCCCCAGTGAACACAGGGAGGGCATGGTCTCCTGGTTTCAGATGGGTCACACCCTCACCTACGCTCTCCACAATCCTGAATAGTATAATTGATAACGTGCATTTAATGTACATATTAGATAAAAATAATGTTTGAAAAATCAATTAGACTTAACAAAATGAAACAATAATCCAAAGATTTATAAAGTGTGATCATTAGGGCAGTTTTTAGAAGAGAAACATACCCTCCAGCTTCATGACCAAATATACGAGGAAACAATGGAGTCTGGCCCTGAAACGAGTATAAAAAGGGAGATCACGTTAAATTATTGCAATGCCAAAATCACTGAAATCAACCAAAAATACTAACTTTCCAAAATTTCCAAACTGTGATTAAACATCAGAATTATTTTAATTTCCAAAATTTACAAAAATAAATTTGTGTCAGAAACCACGACAACATCTGTGAAAACGTATTAAATGTCTTGGCACCATGGTTTAGATAAAATTAAAGCATGATAAAGAAAATTGCAAGGGAGGCAAACGTGTCGTTACCTTAGCTTCCCAAAAGTAAACATCAGTGTGGCAAAGAGAGGTGTAGAGGATCTTCAAACGCACTTCACCAGCCTGTGGTGGCGCTACCTCTATTTCTTCAATCACCAGTGGCTTCCCAGCCTCCCATGCAACCGCGGCTATTACAATTTCCAAAATTTCAGTGAGTAAAACCACTTTAAAATAATATAACTGGAACAATCAAAACCAGATTTACGCCGCTTAATAATATAAAACCAATAATCAGTGTGTTAAACAAAGCTGTGTACATCATTAACCATTTTAAAATAACATAACTACAATGCATGACAGGAAAATCCGATAACAAAATCAGAAACGGATCGAAGGTAAATCCGATGAATTAATGTACAAATAACATAAAAAAAATTTACAGATTATGAAAACAAATACTATTTTTCCAGTTAAAAAAAGGAGCAGAACAGTCGGTTAGTAATTACCAGATTTAAAAAAAAAGAAAAGAAAACTAAGAACATAAGCATAGGATGAAAAAAAGAGGATAGGTGAAGATGAGTGACCTTTGCATTTGATGACGTGGGCAGCTGTGCTCGACATGACTAGTTAACGAGAAATTAAGGAAGATGAATGAACAGTGAGAATTGATGAGTATTGAGTTATGGTAGGGAATATGGTGTTGTGGTTTTTATTTATAGTAAGAAACAAAGAAAGACTCTACAAACAGAGGACGATACCACTTTGGGTTACCGCTGTTGTTTTGTTTCCAAGCGGCGCCTTAGATTAACGACACACAGCCACGTCACTGTAACTGTTGGAACCGCTGGTTTTCAACTTTCTTTCTGCTCACAACCCCACTTGCGCATTTTATATAAACCATTTTTTATTTTAAGCAAAAAATAGAAATGAATAAAACTTTTTTTTACTAGATAATTTTTTTATATTTTTTTCTGTTTTTATTTTTTTAGAGTGAGATAAAAATGTATATTTATATAATTTAGAATTTATCAATTTATATTAATGTCATTTTTACACGTTAATCTTTTTTTAGATTAAAATTATGATTACAAATTTTAAAATTATGCTGGAATGATAAACATTTATATTCCAGTAGAATTAGCTCTTCAATAAGTTTTTTTATTTTATACATAGGATTTGAGCTCCAAACCTACACACATATTTATTACAAATTTAGCGTTAAACTTAATGTTAACTAATTTATTCAAAATTGTACTCATACCATTACTTTAAAAAAAAAAAAACCAACAGTGTAAAAATCAAAGTATTGATAAAAATTATTAAAAAAATAATATTTGTAGATCAATATTTGTTTTATAGTATAAATAGAAAATTTTAAATGTTTATATTTATTTTTTATATCTATTATTATTACTATTATTATTAGTTCAATCATAATTTGAATTTTATTTTTTATATTTTTAAAGATTTATCTAATTAATATAAATTTTTAATTTAATTAAAATAGTACTACAATAAATTTATTCTAATTTAATAGTATTTCATTTAGTGTAAAAAATTGATTAATTAATATTAACTTTACATTTATAATATTTTATAACAATTAACTATAAAATAAAATATTATGAGTCGTACACAAGTAGCTTGTTTAAAACTTTGAATGAGCTGATGACAGATAAAGGAAACGACGTGCCACGACAACAGTGCAGTTTCGAAGAGGGTCGGGTCCACCACCGTATCACCGTATCTGTCACTTGGTCAACTTTTCCTCGTTTGAAACCCTTAATATCAGTTTCTATTCGGATGTCTCTGAGGTTTTTTTTAATGTACATTTTAAATTTATTTTTTAAAGAGTTAATTGTCGGAGTGTTTGTGAGTTTTTAATCTTTAAATTGCTACAAATTTTTAAACATAAATTTTACATTTAGAAACTTGAACTTGGAGATAGTTGAACCCAGTTAGTTTTGCTCGTTTACATTAGATGCATCAGAGGGATTTATATATAAATAACTAGTATCCATAATAAGTATAAGTGAAATAGTTTACGTTAGTACAACATTGACAATTTCACATCAAAATTCGAACACTATATTAACAAATTACAAACTTCATAAAACACCTCCATTAAGTAGTAATAATTTCCTTTAATATCTTAAAAGTTGAGGTAAATCTCTTTTATAATAATATACTCCTAATTTGAACCATTGAATTAATATATAGATATATAAACGGTTCCTTTTTTTAGGTCCACAGGTGGGTGTACCTTAACCAAATCCATCAAATTAATTAGTCATCCTCTCGTTGGAGTCCTAAAAGTGGGAAATCCAGATTCTTCAAGCTTGGACAGTTGGTTGATGGTGGAATCAAATTTAAAACAAGTGGCAATAAATAAATAAGTTAATCAAGTACGATTTACTTTTTGATTACCTAAAAATTAATTAACTACATTCAGCTCACTGTATTAAAAGGTGTCGACACTAGTTAAAAGTTATTGTTTAAACCCCAAAATGGAAGTTCGATTGTTCTAGCTAAGCTCTAAGAGAGATCTTTACCTTTTGCAACACTCAAAGTGAAATTACCAAAACAATTGCTTTTGCAATTTTTCAAAATAGAAAGAAGAGGAGACCAACTAAAATGGTAAAATAAACATGTTGAAATTCTTATTTTGTTTAAAAGGAAAAATAACTATTACAAATTTAGATGCATGAATCCAGTTGGCCTTTATAGCAGACATGAATAAAATCCATCAAATAAGGATCATAGATACATTATTAAAACACTAATGTACAAAGGAAATAAAGAATGATACATGGTTTTTGAAGATATGATTCTTGACTTATCTAAGTATTCTATTTCTCTTAGTTACAATGTTCAATTATCTCCAATTTTAAAAAAAAAACACCACCAATAAAAATATACATACATATAGATGTGGAATAGAAATTTTTTCCTCTTCGTCAAATTTAGATAGGATGGAATTAATGTTGACAGAGACGATCATTTATCTCAAGACATATATTTTATCACACTTGTTTATGAAAAATTATAATGGTTCCACCTATATTATAAATTATTGAATTCACACAACTATAAAGAATACAATGTATAGGTATATTTTACTTGCGACATCGAATATTCATCAATTACAAAATGAACGTTTAAGAATATGTTAAAACGTTATTTAAACAATTAATTATTCTATTAAATTAATGGAAGATCAAACATTAGAAAAAAACAAATCTACGACTGATACTATTTGGTCGGTTATATTCAGGCCTCTGCAATTGCAAATAATTAAACTAACTTGGATGAGGCCTGATTTTTACCAACGGGTCAAACTAATTAGAGTGTTATAGCAGATTTGGGGAGAAAAAAGGGATGGATGCTTGATTGTGTCAAACTAACTTTATCTTTATTCTAAAAACATGTTTGATTAAAAGTAACATGTAATTTTCGAATTAGGTTAAGACTTTTATAAAGAAACATTATATTTGGTTTTATTTATTTTTATATATTTTCAAGTGAGATTTTAGAGATAAAAAAAAGTATTTATAAATTACTTCATTTCAGAGCAAATGTTAATCACCACTGAATATAATCAACTAATGTGCGGTTATTTCAGCTTTACATGCGGTTAAGAAAAACTCAATCCAAAATTGTATTTGAAATGTTCGTACATATGTGCTTTTTTCAAATTAATTACAAACCAATTCAAGCTATTATTTTGGTGAATTTGAGTCAATTTAGTTCATGAATTGATTCATCTTGACACCTTTCAATTTCTTTTATTATATATTTAGAAATTAATTTGATATTTATGTTGATGATTATTTTTATAACAAAAGATTAATGTAAAATATTTTACCAAACTAATTTGTAACTCATATTTTTATTTTATATTTACTGTTAATTTATATGTCAAAAAAATGTGCAATATAAAATCTCTTCTAAGTCCTCACTTTGTCTTTATATATATGGTTAGTATGAGGCGATAGAATGATAAGTGTTAAAAAAAATTCCTTTTCTCTTTGGCATCAAAGGAAAGAAATTTGTAGGCACATAAGTCAATAATTTTTCCAAAAGAAGAATCGCGTGATTTTGCTATCAATATTGAATGTCAATAATCTTGTACTGTACCTAACCCGGATAAGAGTATTTGATAAAGTGTTCAACACATATTTTTACTAATAAAATAAAATAATTTAAACATGGGAGGGTAGCCGGCAGCAATCTTTTTGTTTGAAAGCTAAGTTAGAAGCATCGGTGTGGAACATCAGTAATAAGTTTAAGTTATTATCTTGTTTACAGTGCAGAAAGGTTTTGAAGAGAAAGAGATTATAAGACAAAACAGATGTTAAGTAAAATTGAAGTAATTTTTATGATAATAATTTAATTTGGAATCAAACAGTTTTAAATGGATTTGATTCTGTGCGCGTTTTAGAGCTTTGCTACATGTCAAAGATGTTGCTGGAGGAATATTTTACTATAATTTTTTGTGTATAATTGAAATATTATATTTTTATCGCTTGTTATGTTTTATATTATTTATATAATATACAAAATATAAAATAGAAATTCTATTTTATATTTTGTTTGATTTTAATATATTTATAGAATTCTACTTAAATATACTCAACAAAAGCTGCTTTATGTTAGTCTTGTGCAATAGTTTTCTGGGACATGATAGGCTAGTGTGTGATTGGCAAGATCTCACTCGCACTTTTACAAGATTGTTTGATATGAATATTACATAATTCAGGCAGGAATTACCAATAAACTTGAGTCTGTTAAGGCAAGACTAATTGCACGGTATGAGGCACCATTTTCTAGCCCTATTTTATTTGAAACAAATATACAGAACCATTTTAAGCCGCCTGAAAAACGGGGACAGAAATACATGTTTCTTTCATGTTCAGACAATCCTTCGCAGGAGGAAGTACAAAGTCGGTTTACTAGATGTGTGATCCAAATTGATGACTGCTATTCTATCCGTTATTTCGGGTCACCCTATTGTAAGAAAATTTTTTATAGCGGTACTTATTGATGCAAATATCTCATTATCGGTAGTGGAAAAGTTCAATCAACCAAGCTGGTCAGACGAAGGAGCTCGAAGGGTATTATAGTTGGACAGAGGAAGCACTCGTAACGGTTGAGAAAAAAGATATGAATTAAGTAATTTTTCTACAAAAAGCTTATCAAGGTTGAGCTAATTTAGCCAAAATAACTAGATCTAAAATCTTGACATCCAACGTGTCATCTACCTTTACAATTCCATCAGTACCATCTACACCAATTAATTTGCCAGTGGCACCACGCAATGCCCCATCCATAATTTTAATTTTGTCTGATTTTCTTGGTACCACAGCCTCCATTTCATTAGGAATGGCTGTTATCGTTTCACCATTTCCACTAGAACCAAGAGCAACCTTGTAAGAGCCATCCTGAAGAAACAAAAGGTCAACGTCAATAATATCATTAAACAGAAACCAAGCAAATGGAATGAGTAGTTATGAAAAAAGACAGCTTCATATCATATAAATAGTTTGGCATTTGTCTCAACTTGAAGATCCCTCTCATACAGATCTAAAGAAACATGCATATACAAGCAAGGTTCTATGTCAACATACCGGAAGAACCTCTCTTATAATTCCAACAGATTCCTCTCCTGCTCTGTGTACATTGACTAATATGTCTGGCATGAACCATGGCCCTTCGTGTACTCCACCTACAAGATTGAACCACCAAATTAGCAAACTAACATAAGAAACATACAACAAATTTAAATTTTTGTTGATGATACAATCGAATAAGTAATACAAGTAATAGATCCAGGATTATGCTTGTTACAAAAATGGAAAGGTAAACAACTATCCTAAAGGAGATGTCAGCTGGAGGGTTTTTGCAACATGTTAGGCACACAAAAAACAAGAGAAATGGTGTTTGAACTAGAACCCTCTAAATAAATTTTAAAAAATTAATAGGAACAAGAGATATAAAGTTTAAAGTAGAATAACCACTCCATCCTTGACCATGTTTGAATGAGACAGAGAAACAAACAAGTGGCAAACAAAATACCATGTGCAGAGTAGTAAGCATCTTTGCATTTAAATGCACCATAACAAGTGTAGAATCACATATCGGTGAGACATACTACTAAGCCTACCCGTGGCCCTCCTCCATTTCAAAGACTAACCTTTACATGTTATTTGCTATCATAGATGAAGAAAATAAGATACATCATATAGTTGCAATGTGATGATGTAACCAAATAGACAAGCGGCAAAGAAAGAGTCGGACCGAAAGATGTACATACTAAACCTGTCTGTCAAGATTGACAAAACAAACATACCTAAAACTGGAGACATCATGTCCAGACCACCAGTGCCTGGAGTCATAGGCTGTCCACCAGGGGTGCCAGGAAGATAAGATGCCGAATTTGGTGTCATTGGCTGCCCACCAGGTGTTGATGGTAAATATGGGCTTGGAGCATTTACTGCAACACAACCCCATCCCCCAGAACAGAATATTAGCACACCAAAAAAAAGAATTACAAATATGCTATTGATTATAAGGAGCAAGAATTACCATAAGCAGAACTGTCCCGTGGTGTCCCAGCCTCGCTATAATTACCACCAGGAGTGCTCGCCCAACCAGCACCAGGAGTTGGTGCTTCATACGGCCGTGAAGGGGGGCTTCCTGGCTGAAAAGTTTGAGAAGGGAATAAATATGGTTCATCAAGTTAAGTTGCAAAGTATCTCAAATAACCAAATCTCCTGCCTGACCTGGTACTGTGGACTGGTTCCCCAAGAGCCTGGATTTCCATCTTCCCAGTTATCCCTGATTTTATTTTCACCATCAGAAATCATAAATCACATACACCATTCTACTAAATAGTGCTGAAGACTGTAAACAGGTAACAATGCTTTTAAGTACCAAATTCCTAATAACCCTTATGCTCTAGAAGCTTTTGTTTGGACGTTCATGGTGGTTAATAAGTTAATTGATTTAGAGATCTTTTCTTTTCCTTTTTCTGTTGGATAAAATAAATTAAGAAAAGGCATGGCATACAGAGTGGAAGGAAGAAATATTTTTTAACAAAGCATAAACTAGGAAAAACAAAAATCAGAAGAGCGCAGTATATATTAGCTCAACAAGGAACAATGATGATAGGACAAACCTTGGAGGACTCATTGGAGTATAAGGATTCCATGCTCGGTCACGCATAGGTGTCCTCATTCCATCATGAATAGGTGTAGCTACAAATAGCAGTACGTTTAACAATTTTAGTAGATGTATCAATCAGTCAACAACAGACCCAAGTCTCAATCCTATAAAATAAATCAAGCAAGAAACCTACAACAATAAAATCAAACCAACCTCCAGGATCTCTCATAGGAGTCATATACGGATGTAAGGGAGTTCGAGAAGGATGCATAGGGGTTTCACTTCCCATCCCATAGCGAGACGTGTCCCTGGCAGAGGAACCCATAAGAGTCAGATGGTTGAACATCTTCCAATGCACACAAGGAATCACAAATTATATGTACATAGAACCTACCGATATGGGGTTACAGCCACATTGTCAGATATATGGTTGCGGTCAACTGCAAACAATCAAGTCAGAGACCATGCAAATACAGAAATACAAACAATTCAGATTTTGGCCCCACTTTGAAGACATACCTGTCACAACCTTCATTTGGGATTCCAATTCAACACGAACAGATGCCCCTTTATCTTCTATAACACGGCCACGATAACCTTTATAAGGACCCTGGCGTACTTTAACAGTTGCACCTGCCAGACCATCATGTCCCCCCCTACCGCCCCTATGCCTCCCTCCAGCTATACCCCATCCAAATAAATAATCATCAGACAGATTTCTTAGGAAAAACAAGGCAAATCAAAATGGTAGACTGGTGACATTTAGACATACAATTAACTGGAGGCCCTCCTCGAGAAAATCTTCTTGGAGATGGTGGAATACGATGTGGACTCCTAAGGCTGGAAAATCTTGAGTAGGCATCACCCTAGAGAAGGAAAGGAATAATTTCAGCAAAACACTACTACAAGTATAAAAGCAAAATTGCATAAAAATTAAAATAGAAAAATTAATTACATTTCGGTCACCATTGGAGCGTGAGCCTCCCACAACTACACAAGATTGGGCCTTTGCACATATAAAGCCTGCATGTTCAAGATGATGGCGATCAAAGATGAACAGGATTCCTCTATATATGTGCTCCACAGGACCTTGTTTTCCCTAACCAAATAATATAAATTAAAAAATAAAAATTTGAACAATATTAGCTTTCATGAAACAAATATAACCAAGAGTCAGAATCTCACTTTGCACGGACCATCAACAATCCGCACAACATCCTTTGATGATACCGTATTCTTAAACCTATCCTGCACACTTATTTTCTTCTCTATCTTACACTTGATCTCTCTTAATTTAACAAGCACAACTTCAGGTCTGTCAGGAACCCCTTTAAGAACCTAAAAAGGATAACAAACATGAATATAAGGACAAGGGTCTCAAAATTTTAATAAAACACGTATTAAAATTTTCATTCATTAAGGTACTAACCTGAAATGCTTCACTTTCTACACGTATTATCACGCCAAAGCTTAAATTACTGTACCATGGCAAATTATTAGAAGTGAGAATAGTTTGAACCATAGAATGCAGACGTAAGGTACTATGCCTAATCTCAAAACACAAAAAAGGCTTACTCTAGCAATACAAGATCTCGAAGTTCATAGTCCCCGATTCTTGTAACTCCAGTGGTCACTTCAGAACTTTCAACAACATCATCAGCAAATACACGGATCTAAAAAGAAGATACTTTTGTCATTTCTGCACTAAATATAATAAGAGATTCACAAGTCTTTCAGTAAATCTATAAAGGGGACACAAGACTCACATGCTCTTTTGTTGTATCAGATATCAAGATCAAGACATGTTGCTCCACCTTCACAACCATTCCAGTAGCACCCTCTTGAGCACCAGTAACAACCTTGACATGATTTCCAGGTTCAAAATATTTACAAAGTTCCTTTTCATTCACTGCGAGAGTTTTCTGACAAGTAGAAAAAATGACAATTAGATAAGTATGAAGACAATTTATTGCAAATCAACATGCAAAACCAGCAGACTACACAGGGAAGAAAACCAACCAATCATCAATTCATACTTACCGGAAGACCCTTAATTTCTGGTCTTATATGAACATTATCTTCATCAACTTTCTCTACCCACCCCTTCAAGTTCTTTAAGTCGCCCTTGACAATAATGACAGCATCACCTTTCATAAAATGCCCTTTCTTTCTGTTTGCAAACAAAGTTGACAAACTAGCAACATCACCATCACCACTCTCACCCGGTTTACGAAATTTTTCAAGCTCATCAAAAGTAGGTTTGATGTTCTGAGCACTAATGGATTTTATTGATACAGTTTTGTATAAGAATCCATCTTTGAACATCATGCCGCCAATCGCATCAAATCTTTCCCCATATGCATCACGTCTATGCTCCACACGAATATGCAGTTCCCTGAATAGAAAGCATAAATTTAATCAAACCAGGAACTGAAAAGTTTCCAAGAAACAGAAGACATTCAGTGACAAAAGGAGAGAACCAGCAATACCTTGCTTCATCGACATTCATAAATCGAGGAGGAGGAACAAAAGCCTTCTTTTTCACAACTTCCCTACCTTCCTGCACAACACAAGTGATTTGCAAAAAATTATAGAGTCAAGCTATTTAGACTTTCAAGAAAGTTAAAAATATAAGCATTGGTCAAATAGAATGCATCAATTTAGCAAGACACTGAAATATTTCATACCAATTTGTTTGCAAGGGCCTGTAAGTCTACCCTTGGAATTAGTTTCACAGTAACTCTCTGCCGCACATTATCAACATCCACTACCTATAGAAGAAATATTTGATGGTAAATAAAGAAAGTAAAAGGGCCATCCCTTTTATGACAGAACATCAAAATTTTATAGAATGTGCTGCATACTTTGGCAAGATCCCCTTTGTAAGTCCCAATCTTCATTCTGACCCATGTATCTCTGGCAAGGTCAATTGCCTTGCTTTCAACTGACAGAACATCAGTCATTTCTCTGATAGGAACAAGCGTTATTTTTTGGCCAAATATATTGCGCTGACCTTTGCAAGCCTGAAAACAAATGCAAAATATATATAAAAAATCACAGTTCTATCTATAAAAATTTGTGTTATTTATTACAACAGACATGACAATACCTCTCTAACATGAGCCTCTTTATCTGCTTCCACATATATATAATTTTTTAGATGATCAAGAGCAATAGCTGATCTGATTTGCAATTCAGACCCCTTATCTATGTACTTTTGCATGAGGCAAACAGCTGTTTCTCGCTCACGACCAATCTAGTCAAAATAACCCAAAGAATATTAATATGGCATGCTTCTATATCCGTGCAAGAACAAGGAATTCATCACAAGTGGATAGGATCATACCGCACATTTGACCATCCACAGCTTTGGATCTCTCACAGATGGCAAAAGTGCTTGTTGTTCAACATCTGTTGTTTCTTCAGAATAATCTGTTACTCGCCTTCCATATCTTTCCTGAATGCTTCTGGCCATAGCTTCAAGATCTTCATGATCTTCTTGGTGATGTGGCAGCATACGGCTACTACGCATCCTTCTCCCATCATCTTCTTCTGGTAGATCAGCTCCACCCTCAACAATGAAGTCTGCATGTTTCAACAGTTGTTAACATATCTACATAAATAACTGATGTATTTTACCACAAAGTAGCTGAGAGCCTCATATACATTAATAATAGACATGCAGAAGGGCAGAGATAGAGAGGATACAAACTAATTCATACAATATCTGAATTTATGTATTTATAAAAACACTTCAATTCTATGTCCCATTTTTAAAATTAATTTTTTATTTGATTTATTTTTTAAACTTGTCCTCCATAAACTGTCTTTAGAGTAGAAAGTAGTTTTGAACACATTTTACCAGTTTTCATGTAATCTCAACTCTCACTTCAAACCACCACAACTACCGTCAGTGTTCTCAAGCATTCAAAACTTATTCTCAAAACAGAATTCATCAAATACAATTTTTGATAATTTATTCAGAGAAATAATTCTTGAAAACAAGAATAGAATCAAACAAGCCTTGAATATCACTAGGTAACAAGTTTGGTTATCTTCAAAAAACAGGGATAAGGAAATCAGACTCAGACGAGACAGTTATGATGCTGGTTAATATTAAACTCCTGATGGTAGAAAACACTCGGACAACGTCTTTGAAAACTATTATTGTTTTTAGATACCCTTCAGTATATCATAGATTAGGTTCACAAGTCACAACATAAAACAACTGAAGTCTAAAGGCAAGGTGAACAGAGTATCACTACCAACAATTACAATACTCAGTAACATGAAAATGTTTTTGAGCCATATAGACACACTTGATTTACTGACTACCCCATTATGAGAATTTTGTTTCATAACCATTTTTTTTTCTCACAAAGTGTAGCTCACCAAGTTCCGAATCAATGAAAAAACTCGACTAAAACAAGCCCTCACAACCAATCAGAAAAAGTAACCTGAAATAGATGTAAGAACTCTTGCTTTAAAAAACACCTAACACCATCAATAACATAGATGACAATGAATCTACATCAAGAAGAAAGAAACTGCATGGTGCCTGGAATAAATAACATTTCATCCATCAGGACTTATTAGTGATAGCGAATTCCAGTCCCAATCCCAGTTCCATGAGAGACATGATAAAACAAACGAGCATGCCACAAATCACAAAATCTCCTTCCAGAAAGGATGATCTTGTACAACCAACAATATATCACAAAACAAAATCCAAAACATCAAAATGACAGTCATACACAGACAAAGTCGGTTAAAACACCACCTGCGCGGATTGGATAATCGATAACACATCTAACCGAGGTTCGAACCAACCAAAACCGCCCAATAATTTCTACACCATCTAATCTATAAAACTAATTGATGGAGAAGACAAACCCTAAATTCCCACTTCCAACCCTAATTCCACCCCAATTCAAATCTAACCGAATTGATTTGCCTCTAAAATTAATAGAAAACAATAAGAAAAGTGGAAAACGCACCATCTTCGCCTTCCTCCTCTTCCTCCTCTTCATCACTATCGACCACAGCCTCCTCGTCGAAAAAATTGGAAGCAGAAACCTTCTTATACTGACGCCTGCGACCACCTCGGCCATCGAAATCCTCGTCATCGTCATCCTCTTCCTCCTCGTCCTCGTCAACCTCCTCGGCATCATCGTCGATGAAACCAGATCTTCTCCGCTTCCTGCCGCCACTGCGTCCTCTATTATCCTCTTCCTCCTCGTCCACTTCTTCGTCGAAGTCGGCAACCTGCTCCTCCTCCTCGTACTCCTCGTCGTCGTCGTCGTCGTCGTCACGGCCCATTCCTCGGTGACTCATCCCGCAAACCCTAAACTTCTGATGCGAGTGTTGCTGCTCTGCGCGCAAGCCTACAACAGATTTATGGTAACATGAATATCAAGTTAAACAACCGAGCCCGTAAAAATAAATAATAAGTTGATTATCATTATTATATTATATACATACGAAAATTGTATCAGCTGTAAAACTTGGACGTGGCTTCCTTCTAGTTTTACAGTTTCTTTCTGTAGCCCTAATCTATCTCTCCGATTCTAAAGAAAAGAGACGATGACTTTTGCCGGGTTAAGAAATTATGAAACTAATGAATAATAATAATATTTGGACCAAATTTGCATGCCAATGTTAATTTATTATTTTACCCAAAAATACTGACATTGTTAGTAGATTTTCTATTTCATTAGTAAAAGTTAATAAATAAAAAAATATTTTTATTATTTTTAATGATTATTTACAGATATTTATTGTAAGGTAAAATTTGCAATATTCTTTACTATTAAGATGGTTTGGTATATTATATTATACGTAGAATAATCTTAATTATCAGTTTTTTATTGATAGATAATAAAATTAATGGTTTAATTAAAAAAAATATTAATATTTTTTTATTTTTAAGATATTAGAAAAATTACAAGAGCATAAAAATACTTTATCAAGATTATTAATACCACAGCAAACACTTATTATAATTTTTAACAAAAAAATAAAATAAAATTTAAATTTATTTTTAAAAATAATTTTAGCAATGTTACATGGCTTTTAGATTTTTCTTTCTTGTGACTTGAATGCGTTTTTAGGATTTTCTCTCAATTCATTTTGGGCTGCGCTGTTGGAGTTCATCCTTGTTCTTCAATAAGCTTGTGTTGAGACATGGAGAATGACGATAGAAGATGTAAAACAAAATTCATTTGTGAAAGAAAATTCAGTGAATTAAAGCATAAAAAAGGCAAAGAAGACGAAAGAGAGTGAAAAAGAGATGGAGAATCCACCATTTCATGTTAATAGTTAAATTGTTAAGAAAAAAATGTGAGTTGAAAATTTTAGAACAAAATTTCAAAAATATGAGAAGGAAAAGAGAAATAGGGAGGATAATGTGTTAAAATTGAATAATAAATTTTTTTTTTTATATTTTTTTGTTAGTATTATATTATTACTTGTTCAGAGATAAAAATTCTATTTTAAAACTAAAGATCAATTATCTAGATGAGCAGTTATTTAGATTAGGATTCCAAACTTACTTTTTAAATTGTATAATAAGAAATTTTTATGGCAACTTAAATCTTTATTAGAAATTATGTTAAAAATTGACTTTGATACAGCAAAATAGTCTAAGAAAAAATTTGTTTGGATTTGTATCGAAATTAACCTTATGAAGAAATGTATTCTATCACATATGGATTGTTTGAGAAGAGCATTTTGGAGGAAATGGGAGAATATAAATTTATATTTTAAATAAATAAATTTAAAATTAATATTTTTAAAAATAAAAAATATAAATTAATATCTTAACAAAAAATTAATGTATTAATAATGTATTTGTCATCATAAATAATATGTCATTTATTAGGAAAAAAATAACGGCTTTAAAAAATAAAGTTCTAATTTTAAAAAATGTGAAAATTATGGAGCCTCTACCAAAATTTTATTTATTTTTATAAAAACAAAACATTGAAAAAATCTTAAGAATCTCGAGTTTGAAAGATGGTTACGAAATTAGCACTTTTATTCGCCTGTTCAAATGAACAATGTCTTAAAATTAAATAGTACAAATAATTTTAAATACTGATCTAGATATATTTTTTTTTGTTCTCTTATTTCATACTTTTTATTTTTTTATTTATTATACTTATTTTTTGAAAATATATCTCAGGCATAAATTATTATTATCATAGGCAAAAATAATATTTGAGATCTCAACAAAATCATTGATCTCAAATCATATTTTATTTTTAAAATAAAATAATTTTATAAAAAGAAAATTTTTATATTTTTATTTGAAAGCTAAAAAATGTCTTAATAACTTAAAATAAATTTTATATTTTATTTTAGAAAAATATTAAGCACTTAAAAATATTTGTTTATTTATTTATTATTTTTGCATGTTTTTTTTTTTTAAAATGATTTAACATCTAAAACTGACTTTAAAAAAAAACAGAAAAAATACTTTATTTTGAAAATAATTTAACATTCTAAAAAAATTTTATATTTCATTTTGAAAGATTTAACTACAAAAAATAAAAATTTTTTTTTTTTTATGGATTCAATAAAAAAAAATCAATCTTTATATTTTATTATGGGAAAAATTATAATTAGAATATTTAATTGAAAATGTGTTTCTTTTTATTTTATATTTTTTCACAAGATAGGATGATGCTCAAGGAAAAAAAAAAGCAAAGAAGAAAAAAGAAAAAGAACCAAAGAAAGAAGAGAAAAGCAAGAAGGGACAACAAGAATAAAAAAAAGTACTAAAAACAAAGAGAGAGAAAAATAATAAAAAAAATATTGTAATAAGATATTAGTGCATTATTTCTATTTACAATGAAAGATGAATAACATAGAAAAGGAATCAAAAATCATAACTTTTTCTTGCAGTATCTCTCTCTTGTATTTTGTGTGAAAATATTGTGTGAAAAAATCTCTTGAAAATTTTCCTCTGAAAAATTCTCTTTCTAAAGTTCTTCCTTTCTATGTAGGTTAGTCACTATTTATAATAGGATTAATATCTAATAAAATAAAATCAGGTATATTTTTTATCTTGATTATTTTGATTTTTTCTTAAATTAACTAAAATTAAAAATAAAAATAATGATTATTATTTATAAATTATCTTTGTGATTTTTATTGATTATATGTCTTTTTAATTATCTTTTTTTATTTTCTAAAATTCATTATTTATTATTTAAAAAAATTCACAACCCAAACAAAAATGAGTATTCACAATATATTTTTTTTAATTTAAAATTAGAAAAATATGATCTCTCCTCCCTTCTCCTCCAAAAACCTCCTTCCAAACAACTTTTTAGAGTACTTGGTCAAAGGTTTAATATTAAATGTGAGAGATTATACTTAATTTGTTTTTTCTGTAGTAAATATAAACATAAAATGGAAATTTTTCTGAGGGCTAGAAGTTATTGTAATTCTAAAGTTCTTATTGGTTATGGTATAATTGATGATAAAAAAATAATATAAATGTAGATGATATTAAATTTGATTTTATGAAAACAAATGATAAACTTATAAGTGTTGAAGAAAGTGAGGATAATAAGGGATTTGGTCCTTGAATGATATTTAAGAGCTCCAAAGGAAAAGAATATTGCAAAATAAATCTCAAAGACTAAATATACTATTATACCTAATAATAAAAAAGGGTTTGAATCAAGATTTGAGACTTTTGAAAGAAAAATCTAACACTCATAATCATGTTGAGAGTTTTAAGGACCATTCTAATATTTATTCTTTCTTATAAGTAGTTGTATAAATACATTAATAAGTCTAGTTGAAAATCTCGAGTAACTAATAAGAAAATTAAAAATCTTAAAACTATTAGGGAGATAAAATCTCTTTTGACAATGAATTCTTCTCAATATAATAGTGAAAATATGAATTTACAAAATAATCCTTTATGTCTAATCTTTAAAATGAATTATAAAATAAGTTCAAAGAGAGGGAGTCTAAGTCTAATATATTAAGGGTAGGAGATAGATAGGCGTTATCTAAATTTTTATGGTAAAATAAACTCTCCTACTAATCAGCTTTAGACTTAGACTTAACTATAAATGATCTAATTAAAGGTCTTAAGATTAGTAATAATTTAGATCAAATTAATTTTTTAGATTTTCAAAGCACAATTATTGTACCTACTATTAATTTAAATAGTTTGTAATGAATTGTTTATTTTAAAACTATAAAGGTATAGAAAAAAAAGCTTTCAAGCTAGTAAATGACTTAATTGACGTTTATAAACTAGATTTTATTGTTATTCTAGAACCTAGGGTAAGTCATGATAAAGCTCATCCAATTCTAAAGAGAATTAACTTGAATGAGACAATTAAAGTATATACACTTGAATTATGTGAAGGTACTTAGTCTTTGAAATATACTTTCATTCATTCTACAACTAGGTATGTTATGCATTTAAAGGTAAGCTTAAATAATTATTGTTAGCTTGTTTCAATCATCTATACTAGTCCTCAAGATTATTTTAAAACATTATTATGGGAAGAGTCAATTGTTGTTAGTTAAAATCTAAATCTTAGTGTGTAACTTTAGATTTCAATTTAATTTTATTTAGTCATGAGAAAGTTAGAGGGAGACTTGTTAATTTTAATAATCTTGTTAATTTTAATAATATAACTAAGTTTGTTAGTTGTCTTAATAATTAAAGTTCTTTGATCTTAATTTTAAGAAGATCTCTTACACTTGGTAGATGAGTAAGCTAAAAGAAAGGTTAGATAAAGTTGTTACTAATGTTTCATGGAGGATGCTTTTCCTTCTAGTTCTCTATTCAATATTGTTATACCTAAAATCTAATTATGCGAGCCTGCAGTTAAAAGTTAAGCCTTCATCTCAGCTTAATAATTTATGTTCCAACATTAAATTACTCACTTCTTAGTTATTCCATAGTCATTTTGTTACTTAGGTAAAAAAAAAAGTATTGAAATATTAAATGCTCTTAGTTTAAAATATTAATGGATTTAGGATAAATATTTTTTATATTGAAATAAATATACTTTTAGTAATATTTTCAACCATAAGTATCATGTTTTTAATAAGTCATACCTCTTCAAATTAATGAGTGAGCTCTAGTTGAAATATGAACAAATTATAGACTAAGTAAGTAGAGTTGTATTAAGTCCATCAATATGGAACTAATTAACTTAATCTAGGAAATAGAAACACTAATTTTTTTTCCTATAAAGATGCTATTGGTAAGAGATAGTCTAGCATAATTGAAACTCTTAAAACTATTAATAAAAATTAAGAATATAACTCTGATTCTATTAAGGAAATAGTTATTAATTTCTTTAAAAATTTGTATATTAATTCTACTACTCTTTTAAATAGTTTAATTAGTTTAAACTTTATCCTTCCTCTAAGGAAAGTTAATAAATATAGAATTGATGATTTAGTGTCCTTTGAATAAGTCAAATATGTTTTATTAAATATTAGTAATCTTAAATATGTTAAATTTAATGGTATATATACAATTTTTTTTAAATTTCAATAAAAAAAATTTCATTCCTTTATTTTTAAATCTATATAAATTTTTGATAATCCCCAAATATTAAAAATGTTAACTAAACTATTATTAGATTTAATTTTTAAAGTTAATTATGAAGAGTTTGTTCACCAGTTTATTATTGGTTCGTAAAAGAATATTAAAAAATTATATTCAAGTTAATAAACTGTCAGTATAGAGATTTAAATAACAATAAGCCTGAGAATAAGGATACTAGTAATTTTTTAAATGCAGTTTAATAACAAGTATTATAGTAACTTATCTATTCCCATATCTAAATATACAATAAAAAATTAATAAATAGTATTTTTAAATTTTCATATTTATTAATATCAATATATTAAATACTATAATGTTTTAATAAAAACTTATTATATATGAGTTTTTAATTGTAGTTTGTTTATTACATATTAAAAAAAAAGCTTTGTTATATCTTTTAGTAATTTTTTATTATTTTATAAAGTAAGCATTAAAAAAATTATATATATTTATTATCTTACAAATATGATAATTATTTAATAATTAGAAAATCTTTAAGTATAAAAGATATAAATTTATAATTATTCGATAACATAATAAGTCAAAAATTAAAATAGAAATTTTTATTAAAAACTGTAATGACAATGATGGAAATGAGAGAAGATGAGAATGATATACATTTCAAGCCATTTCGGTGGTTTGTGTGATTTGTTTGTAGTGTAATTGACCCCTGAAATTTGCTAATGTCTGTGAGACCAACTAAAACACATTTCCATTCAGTAAAGAGGATAAAATGGAGTCGGTATCTTCCGGTCTTGGTTGATGAGTATTCGGAATTATTTAATTTTCAAATAAATTTTATATATTATTAAAAACATTTTAAAATTTAAAATATTTTTATTCATAAAAATGTTAAAGTAATTTTTTATAATTATTATAATATAATTTATTTACTTCTCCTTATTCTATTTTTCCTCCATCTAAATAAATGAAATATTTTAAAAAAATTCTCTTATTTTTATTCATCCAAATAAAATATTTCTTTTTGTTTTTTTACTTTTTTTTTTTCTCAATTTCATCTATGATACATTTAGAAATGTTCTTTTGGCATAAGTAAGTTGCACGAAATCGACACGCGTTAGGCTAGAAATTGCAGCTTGTGTTATTTTATTATAAGCATCACAGCACCGTGACCACAAAAACCTTAAGCTCCAACCTTTAGCCTTTATGGCCTCAAGTTCTACGTTAATCTTTCCATCAGCTTATGTGATTTTTCTGCACTCTTAGTGTTCTGATCGGACCAAATTCTTTTCTCCTTTCTCTCGCTTCCTAAGCCAACAAGCACATAAAACCTTCGTGGACATGGCAACAGCCTCGTCCACAACCAGTGTGCTTTCATGGAGGAATTCCCAGCACGTGCATAGCCCACCTTCTTCATACACACTTTGCTACTCTTCATTCCAAAATGGAAGGGTTCTAAGAACTGTAGCTGCTTCAGCCTCAAAAGAGAGTGGTTTGATCAACAGAGAAAGCGAGAAATGTTTTTCTTTGTTGGTGAATAGAAGAACAGTTTTGGCTTCTGGGATTTCCTTGTTGGGTTTCCCACGAGAGAGCTTGGCGGTGGTGAAACAAGGCCTTCTGGCAGGGAGAATTCCTGGCTTGTCTGAGCCAGATGAACAAGGTTCGTTCACTTTGATCTTTGGATAATCAAAGATTATTGCTTTTTTTTTTTCTTATGCAAACCATTCTATCATTTCTGTTCTCTAGTCCATGACTGTAGATTGTACGGTAGCAATGAATTTGTGACATGACAGACAAGTGTGAATAAAAGCCATAAGGAAGAGAATTGTTTGATGGTGAATGATGCCGTGGACGTGGGGTGCCAAAATTTGATGTAAAAATTGAAACCTATGGTAGTTTAGTTTAAAAAAATTGTGGTTTTGGTAAAACATTAGTTTGATTCTTAGGTTGCATTTGGCTAAGCAGCTTAATTAAATGCATGCTTCATAAGCTTTTATCATATGAGGGCTTGTAGCATATATTTGACTATGCAACTCATTGAAATAAGTTTAAAAGAGTTTATTTTAATAAGTTATACTAAGAAATTTGTTGAAATAAGATTAATAAAAAACCTTATTATGCTCCGAAGTTATTTCTATAAGCGTTCTTTCAAACGCTAGCGTAATACCCTTAAAGAAGGTAACAATAGTTTCTGTCTACCCGTTACCAAATGGTCAATGTAGGACAGAAAAAAGCTTATTTTTCTTCCATTTGCAGAGTTAAGGCATGTGGTGTTTAATTCTGGACTATTGTTTTGTACATGTTTTCAAGTTCCAATTCCAATTGTCTCATCTGTTATAGATTTTAAGTGGAAGTGACATATAATGTAGAGAAGTATTTGATCAGACAGGTTGGAGAACATATCGCAGGCCAGATGAGAAGTCAGGAGGACATGGGGTTGGATGGAGTCCTATTATCCCATACACCTTCAGAGTGCCTCAAGAATGGCAAGAGGTGATGATTAATGATCTCTTCTATTTAAAGAAGGAAAAGAATCCTATAAGATTTCTGTTCTATCTCAACTGGTCCCAAGTATTAAAAAGTTCTAAGAATACAAGGGGAAGTGACATAATGTAGGGAAGTATTTGTTCTTCTGCTTGCTTGCTTTGTGTAAACTTCAGCTAGCATACATCTGCTTAACAGGTACCGGTATCAATAGCGGATCTTGGTGGCACAGAGATAGATTTGAGATTTGCCAGCTCCAAGGAAGGACGTCTGTTTGTCATTGTAGCTCCTGTTCTTAGATTCTCTGATGGTAAGTTTGCATACTTTTCTTTATCCATTCTAGTTATCATGAGACAAGGAGAATAAAAATGAAACAGAAAGAACATTGAAACTTCTTAGTAGAATTTCCATTTGTTACTTGTTTTAGATTATAACATTTTCACTGCACAGATCTTGGAGATGATGCGAAGATAGAAAAGATCGGACCTCCAGAGAAAGTGATAAATGCATTTGGTCCAGAAGTGATTGGGGAAAATGTAGAAGGGAAGGTTCTTAGCTCAAGTGTAGCAGAACATGAAGGAAGAACTTACTATCAGTTTGAGCTAGAGCCTCCTCATGTTTTTATTACTGCCACTGCAGCTGGCAATCGCCTATACTTGTTTGGGGTAACCGGCAGTGGTATAGTTATTTATCCTCTTATAAGTAGTTACACAACATCAAATCCGAACAGCCCTAAAGAAAGTATTTAAAGAATATAACGTTGTCTTACTTGCAGGCCTTCAGTGGAAGAGACACTCCGATGATTTGAAGAAGATAGCTGACTCTTTTCAAGTTGTATAATTGAGAGATCATATAGGTGCAACTTTCCGTATCTGTATTGAAGTATAACAAAGAAGTTCTTTCCCACTATCTTGTCTGATTGGGATTTATAGGAAACGAGAGATCATGCGTCTAAAATCCTTGTATCTTCAATATACCATAACATTTTTGTTACATTTTAATGCTTAGACTTGGTGGAAGCTAAATACTCTACCTTGAAGATGACTTGCTATGCTAGGTAGTTACTGTTTTTCCTTACCAAATGCTATTCTTTCAGGCTTGATCATGAAATATTATAATGATAATTAAGAGGCTTGGTTACATAATTTTCAACAATATAAGTTAAAGAGGAGGAGGATTTGTTCTATTCCTAAGTCTCGGTGAAGGCTTATCATGGTACTAATAAATGATCTATAAATGAAAGAACAGCAACAGAGATTGAACTCAAATCTTATTATTATATCCTATATTCCAACCGGTTGAATCAACCCTTCACTGACTTTTCAACACTTTGCGCATGGCTTCAAAGCGTGGTTCCCTGACCTTGACTCGGACAGCATTTTGATAAGAATCACATATCAAATGACTTTACTAATTAACAACTGTCGGATTATTAGCCCCTCCATAATGGAGGCAGCAACCACGAATTGGATTTAGCTTGGGGCTCAAAGTTATAGCAATTTTGATAAAGATTAATGCCCTTGCATTTTTTCCTCTGTAGACTACTTCGTTTATAGCGCAGTCTTTATTTTGGTATTTCTCCTTTTTAGATTGCACTTACCCATTCATTTTGGTGTGAGATTTCTTCACTTAAACCCACAAGAGTCGCTAAAGACTAAGGAACTACACCCGGGTGTCTTTTGAGACCCTCCAACTTCCATGACCCTCCTCATCCTCTCAGCTTTCTCCCATTTTTCAGACGCTGCATAGATATTAGACAAAAGCACATTGTGGGAATTAACACCTGTAGCAGAGTCTGAACCGACCAATTTCATTACTTGTTCTGCCATTTTCATATCTGAATGAATCCGGCATGCACCTAGCATTGCTCCCAAAACTGTGTCGTTAGATTTCGTTGGCATTCTTTTTATCAGGTCATAAGCATCCTTTAATCTTCCTGCTCTGCCCAACAGGTCAACCATGCATCCGTAATGCTTGATGCCTATTTCAACTCCACATGCCCTCATTTTAGATATCACTTCCAAAGCTTCCCTTACCAAACCCTCATGACCACAAGCCGAGAGTACAGTAAGAAAGGTGACAGCATCAGGCCTCATACTTGAATCCTCCATCCTGCCAAAAAACTCAAGAACCTCTCGGCATTTTCCATTGATGGCAAAACCCGAAATCATGGCATTCCAGCAAAAGATGTTCCTCTCAGTGTACCCTTCAAAAACCGACCTTGCATTGACCAAGTCACCACATTTCGCATACATGTCAACCAATCCACTCAAAACAAACTGATTCACAGTTATCCCTTTATGTTTTATCATGTAATGAATTTGCTTACCAACATCCAAGCGCCCCAGCTGAGCACAAGCAGATAAAACACTAACAACAGTGAACTCATCTGGCTCAAACCCTTCGACCCCCATTTCCTCAAAAGCTTCCAGTGCTTTCTCACCAAATCCATTCTGGACATAGCCAGCTATCATGGAATTCCAAATCTCCAAATTTTGAACCGGAACTTGATTGAAAACATTTTCAGCCTCAGTAACATTTCCCTTCTTGAAATACCCAAAAACCATAGATGACCATGCAAAACAATTCCTTTCAGGCATCACCTCAAAGATCTCCCTGGCAGCTTCCATATCCCCTTTTCTAGCATACCCATCGACCATCACAGTCCATGTTACCACATCCTTCACCTCATGTGGAACCCTATCAAACAACTTCCTAGCAGTGTCAACATCCCCATTCCTAGCAAACCCACGAATCATCTGACTCCAAGTCACTTGGGTTTTCCACGGCATCTCCTCAAACAGAAGTGAAGCAGATTCCGTGTCTCCATTTCTCAAGTACCCACTGATCATAGCATTCCAAGTCACAACATTTCTTTCAGGCATTGAATCAAACAGGTAACGTGCGTCCCGAACGACGCCGCATTTGGCGTAAGCTCCAAGCAATGCGGTTTCGATGAACATGTCGGTGTCTGAACCGGCCTTGATGGACTCTGCATGCAAGGCCTTCACGTAATTAAGGAAGCGAAGAGAAGCGCAAACCTTCAGTAACAGAGGGACCACAGTGGAGTCGCATACTACATGTCGGATTTGGTTATACACAACAAGAGCCCCTAAACATGATCCTTTCTCAATGTGGTTCCTTATTGAATGGGACCAATGTGATGGGTTGTTTCTCCATGTGCAAATGTTAAAACTCGCTGTGAGTTTGATTCCAGGCAACTTGGTGATTTGCATGCTCTACAACTACAAATTTTGAATCAATTGTACCCCAGTGAACATCTTTTCTAGTATTTTAATGCTAAACATCTTTTCAAATTATTATTTAAAGTTTAAAAATTTTATAGGAAAGTAATAAATTATAACTCATTAAATATAAATTAAATAAAAAATATATATTAAATATAAGAATTTTTAAATTTATGCACTTTCTATTTCAATAATAAATTTGGACTCTTCAATTATAAGCTTGTTTTAATTATGTAATAAATTTAAATTAGAGTGATATAAAGATTTGATACTATTATATTATTAAGAGTTTAAATAATATTTTAGTTTTTTTACTTGATATAGATTTGTAAGTTAGTTTTTACATATAAAAAATTTATAAATTAGTCTTCAGATGTATATTTATTTTTTATTTAGTCTATGTCGTTAGAATTTAACGATGTTAAATAAGTAAGAAAATAAAAATAGTATGATGACTGATTTATAAATTTTTTATATGTAGAGACCGACTTACAAAATTCTGATATACTTTTGGTTTATATCTTGATTTCGATGATGTTGAGAGAGTAGATAAAGGCATAAATAAATGCGTTGTTAATTTTGTTGCTAACAACACCAATGAAAGTGTATTCAAAGACAAAAAAAGTTTTAACGAAGAATTAAAGTTTGGGATAAGTGGGTGTAGATAAGAGTGAGGATAAGGATAGTGAAGTCGTTGAGAAGAAAAGAGAAATCAATAAAGATTGTTAAGAGTTTATTGGATTTTTGAGATGAAAAGTTAAGAAAAAATAGAGACTCTCACCTCCATTAAAGTTTACGCACAAAAAATAAAAAAGAATGAAGATTGTAGAATTAGAAGTAGATGCGAAGGGAAGGATGTTTGTGAATTATAAAAAGATACAAACTAAAGTTATATCACAAATTTTTAAAAATACTTTTGACTCAGATTTATCAGTCTTTATATGTAAAATTTTGTAAGTTGGTATCTACATGTAAAAATTTTGTAAATCAGTTATCATACTATATTTATTCTCTTACTTATTTAATGTCATTTACTTTAAATTTAATGGCATAGACTAAATAATAAATAAATATATGTATGAGGATTGATTTACAAATTTTTTATATGTAGAATTAATTTACAAATCTGAGTAAATTATAATAACTAAAATATTATTTAAACCTATTTTTGAGACTTTAATTGTAATTTACTTGTTGACTAAAAAAATTTTCAAAATATAAATGAGATAGACAAAAAACTTCAATTTTTTCTATAAAAATTTATTTAAAAGTTTACCTAAATTGAATTTAACTCTCTTAATTAAAAGTAACAAAATTTTAGATTTATATTCTTTCTCATTCTAACATAATCTTTTTATTTAAATAAATTTAAGAAAAAACAATAAAAAAATTACACAATTACATAGTCATCATCTTACACATGGAAAGGAGGGGAAGGGCTGGCCTAAAGTCCAAGTAACTAAAAAGCTTTTAGGTCCTAAAAGAGAATTTTTTAATATTACTATATTTTTTAAAAATAAAAATAAAATAAAATAAAATAATATTTAAAAAAAATTAGTTAAAATAATTTAAATACTGTTTAACTTTTTATTGATATTTTAAATAATATTGAATGAGTAGTAACTTTCAATCTATAAATAATAATTTTTTATTTTATTTTTTTAAAAGAGAATAATTAAATAACAAAAGAAATTGAAATATTTTTTTTTATCTCTTATGTAGTTATATTTATTTTCTTTTTTTCTTTAATTATTCTATACTCTTTTTGTTTTTATTAAATTTTTGCTTCAATTTTTCATTTAACTTAAGTGTCATTAATTAATATTCAATTTTTTTTTCATCTCTTATTATCGTGTCAATGTGTATTTCTATTTAGAGCGGTAGTGGGATTAATGTCAAAACTTTGAAAAATCTTTGCAATATAATAATTTCTTAAATATTGATAGATTGGATTTATTTTCATAATTAAATATCTTAAAAGAAATTATAGAATTAAAAAATGATAAACTAATTTACATTCTTAAGTATATAAAAAGAATAAATTATTTTTCAAATCCATGTATAACCTGTGAAATAATAATAATTACATTTTCAGTTGTTTCAAGTTTGTTAAAGTTAAAATTAATAAAATTTTATTTTAGATCAATAATATTTAAATAAAGATTAAGTAGATTAGCCTTATTATTTATAAAAAAGTATTAAATAAAAATAATTACAATAATTTTATATTATAAAAAATTTTAAAAATAATTTTAAATAAATTATATTAATTATAATAAATTATTTTATTAATAAGAAATATTTTTTTAAAAATTTTCTTTGAGTCTCAAGAATTTTTGAGCTGCCTTTGAAGAGGAAAGAATATGAAAGGGAAGACAGTCAGACACCTAAGACTGGGAAGTGTGGAAGAATAGAGAGATGGCGAGAACGGAGATCTGTGTAAGTTTCTTAAGATAATTAGACGTCCATTCGCATCGAAACATGAGAGAATTTGGATTCCAAAATTTATCTCATTCCATAAACTTTTTAAGTTTAAAGAGATGAAGCTTAAAAGAAAGCATTAAAATCTTTCAATTTAAATTTAATAATACAAGAAACGATGTAATTTATTTACTGTAAATAAAAAAGGAAAATAAACAAAAACCGTCATATTATTTTTTCCACGTGATTTACGCCAAGTGCCTCCTTTTTTAGTTTTTTAATTTATTAATTAACCATAAAATAGAAACATTTAAATTTGTTACCCATTCTGCCATTCGCAACAAAGTATTTCTACCATTTAGCATAGCTCATTTCTTTTAATGATTTTCTTACTAAGCAGCACTTATGAAATGAACGGATGAGGTTGTTTGAGAATGAAGATTTTTTTAAAAAAATATAACTTTTTTATTCTAAATAAATATATTTAAAATTAATATTCTAAACAAATAATCCTACACTAGCAATGCCGAAAACAACAACAATTGCCCACCAATGAGTTTTCATCCTACGTCATAAAATTCCTTTCATCTATTTCGCCAAGTTAAAGAATAATAAAGCAATTTAGTAGCCAAGAACCAACAACTAAAGAAATCATCAAAGGGGCGATTAACTTGACTATCACCAACCCAATCAAGAAGAAAAGACTTGGACCCTTCATTAGCGTGGTTGTGCACAAAGTAATAAAAAAAAGGGGGGGAAATATATACCGGTTAATTTCATGAGGATAAACCATGAAGCTACGGGGAGTCAAGGGACATTTCATCCAAATGCTAGCTCTCGTAAAGTAGTTGTAATAATACGACAAAAAAAAATATTTAAAAAATATATATTTTAAGAATAAAAATAATATTCTAAAAATAAGAGGAGTCGTTATCAAAGTTTATTAAAAAAAATTTTAAAAAAATTTTAAAAAATTATCTTTAAAACAAAAAATGAGTCTGAGAATTATTTACATGTAGAAAATGTATTAACACTCTACAACGTCCTTTTTTTTAAAAATAATTGCCTTAAATTAATTGTGTAAATTTATTTTAATTTTAAAAAATATTTATTTAACCTCTTAACAACAATTATTTTTTATTTTTTATTTTAAAAGAAGACAAATTATTTATTAAAATATTAATAGATATCTTAAAAAATTATTTTAACTTGATGGGTCCGATTCTTGCTTCTACATATATCTGCGTACAATGAAGAACTCAAAGTCACGTAGTTCTACAATAAAAATCATGAAGTTGGTAGATTAAAATTAAGTTTGGTAAAATAAATTTATTTTTGTGATTAAAATTATTTTTATAAGATTATAATGTTTAGAATAAAAGATGACGTAGTTATACATGTATCCTACGAGAAATAATACAGAAAGTGAAGGAAAATCACACAACTACATTGTAAATCGTTAAAAAAAATTAATAATAATAATAATAAAAATATTATAGTTTGTAAATGAAAAAAGTTTAAATTTGAAGATTCATATTAAAAGAGAATTTAAGATAGCGTAAGTTATACATAAATATCTCATAATTTATTAAATAATTGAAGGCAATGTAAATTACACATCGATATTGTAAAAATTTCTATAAATAAGTAAAGAAATATTTAATTATTTAATTTATCAAAATTAGAAGTATGACTTAAGAAATTTTAAAATATGAAATTAATTTTATTTTAATAAAAAATAATTTTACTTGAATTGATTAAAGAAGATATTTATTTAATAAAAATATTAAAAATTTCATTTGATAGATTTATATTATATAAAACCTATGGTAATGTTGGTACATATAGATTTTTGACAATTTATAATGCATAAAGGTAGAGTCACTACATATTATCATTATAAATTGCTTTATTAATAAAATAATTTAAATTTAAATTAGTTGATTGATTCGTAAGTTAGTAATTAGAAGAGAAATATATCTTGATTTATTATTAAAGTGGTTAACTAATTAATTAAAGACAATATATGATAAATTAATATTGCATAAAGTCTTAGTAACATATGTACGCATAAACTTTATCAAATTATAATAGATGACGATAGAAAAGTTATACGCTAGTATTATAAATTGATATAATTATATTATTATTTATTAATTGATTATACAAAAAATAAGTAATTTACTATTTACAATATAAGAGAAAGTAATCATAAATATAAAATTAAATTATATCAATATTCTACAAATATACAATAAATAAAATAAAAGATAACAATCCTAAAAAATAAATAATCCATATGATAATTAAAATATAAATAATGGAATATAAAAAAAGAGGAATTTATCGTTAATGTTAGAATGATATAAATTAAAAAAATAACTCAAATATAATATGACAAAGTAAATGGTATCAAAAGAATTAAAATAAATAAATAAATTAAAATAATAATAAAAATATTTAAACTAGACTAATATAACATAAAAAATAATAATAAGAACTCATTCATTAAACAAATTAATAATTATCATAATAATAAATAATAATAATAATAATGGTGAATAAAT